CTTTCTGTGACCGAACCTCCCTGCACCTCGGTTTCCCTCCTTGGTACACAGGGAAAACAACAGAAACCTCCGCACAAGACTGTCATGAAATAAAGTAAAATAAGGCCCATAAAATCCGTAAGGTCCACAGCTTCCTGGCACATAGTAAGTGCTTCATTAACTATAGCTTTAAAACTTACACACATACACACACACACACACACACACACAAACTGAAAGCTAGCTCATTCACTCGAAGGCCTGGGTTTGACCTCCACTGCACAAAACCAGTACCAAAGGCAACATTATGTTATTCCCAAAATATTTCCCTCTCCCAAAACATAATCAGTGAGAACAGGACACTCAGATAAAACCAGTGATCACACAATATGGAGGCCTGCTTGAGCAGGAGGGGAAGGCCACGTGGCAGCTGCTCCTCCCGTGCCTTCGAGCGGCGGGGGGCACCTGCACGGAGAGGCTGGGCACGCAGAGCGAGGCCCACGGGCTCACCTGGACAAATCACTCCCTGCGTGGGAGTCGGCCTCTCGGGCGAGAAACCGAGCTGCGTGTGCCTGTGTCAGGGACCCTCAGGGTGGGGCGCGTATTAAGTGCTGCGCGGTGACTGAGTTAATTGCACGTTAAAGGCAGCCAGGCCCACGACAGTGTCACTGAGACCCCAGGCACTTCAGAGCTCCGGGACGGACAAGAAACGCTCATTAAGAGCCGGGCTTTGGACTGTAGGAAGATCTGGGTCTGAATCCTTTCCGTATCACCGACAAGCTGCGTGACCTGAGCGACTCGGCCCCTGAACCTCAGTGTTCTCATCCACAAAATGGGGGCGAATAGCCCCACACACTCCCAGGGAGGGCTGGAATTCCAAGAGCGCTGGCCTACCTCGCTCCGTGCCTGGCGCACGTGCAGGCCCAATACACGCTCGCTGTGTTTCTTCCTTTTAGGAGGGAGCTGAAGAGCGCTGAAGGAAACACAGTGGCAGATCCTTGCAGCCAAGCAGAAAGGCTCCGATTCCCTTGTCTCCTTGGAGATTTAACTAACAAGCCCTCCTGTCGGCACCGCACTCGGCATCACGGCCCCAGGCCCACCTTGGATCCGCTGCATCCTCTCCGCAGCCCTCCCCGGCACCAGAGCTCCGCTCACAGCGTTCAGTGGCCTGCCCAGGGAGTCGGAAGCGGTCTGAGACGTGTCCCCCGACACCTGGCTGCTTCCGTCCGTGCTGCAGACACGGAGAAGGAGCAGCCAGTTCCCAGGGGCACATTTCCGGCCTGGCTGGGCGGCGCTGTGCACCGCGAAGAGGAAGGCTCCGGGTGCTCTGGAGGGCTGCTTTCTGAGGCGTGCTCCCAATAGTGGCTCCTCACCGAGGGGTCCCTGAGACCCTCCTGGGAGCCCCTTGAAAAATACACACGCCTCTCAAGGCAGGACTGAGACCGAAAATAGTTGCTCGGAAACAGGGGTTTTCATCTCTTACTCCGTCTCCCTCCGGTATTTGAGAGCGGCCGCATGGCTTGCTGGGGTCTGATTCTGATGGGGGACAGAAGGCGTTTGGGATGAACTCCCGGAGGATCCTCGTTTGCCCCGCTCTGGCTGAGAAACTGTCCCCAACAACAAGGCTTCAGTCCAGAGGGGAGACGGCGAACTGAGGACCCAACACGCGCCCCAGCGCTGATGCACGCGGGGACTCTGCAGATGAAAGAACCCCGCCTGCCCATGAGCGGACGCCACGTTCCCGCAGCTCGCAGGAACCAGCACCGAGGCCTGTGTGACCCGGGAGACAGTCCCGACGCACTGAAGAGGAGAAGACCTACGAGTTTCTGAGGGGTCGATGTGGCCCGATCCAGTTTTAGCTAAAAAGCAAGCTATCTCCCTATCGCAATCAATTTAACTATCAACAGAAAATAATCCAGAGAGATTAACACCAAAATGCTTAAGCGTTGTCATAGGGGGGTGGTGATAATAGGTGATTTTTTTTTTTTTACTCGCAATGTTCCAGTATTGACTATATTTTCCAATAATAAGCCTAAGCTACTTTTAAGTGACTAGTTTTTGTTTGTTTGTTTACGTGACTTTTAATTATACAAAATGCCAATACATTCTCCCTGGTAAAACAACATGGTCCGCTCTTGGACCTTAGGACTCCCCTGGAGGTAACCGATTGCTGCTGTCAGCTGGAGGGTATCCTCCCGGCCTCTGCCTCTGCACTTCCGTACACACCAACACTTGACCGGTGTCAGTCCTCATCACGCTGCACCTGCTGCTGTGTCACTTGTGCTTTTTCCCTCAACAGCAGGTCCTGATGATCTGTCCACAACAGCCCACAGAGGTCTAGCTAGTGCATCCTTTCACGCTTTGAATTTTTAAAAAATTAGTAAGTGACGCTAAGGTTATGGGGTATAGAGAGAAAATACCCCCAGAGTGGCCGGCCTCTGGTTCCCTCAGAACGGCTTAGAGAAACTGCCCAGCCTCTTCTTTCCTCCTCCCTTCAGGCCCCAGGCTCTGTCCACCTCTGGTTCCTCCTGCCTGCACTTACCCAGAAAGCTCGTGCCCAGCTGCTGAAGTCTGGCCACATCCCACGCCCTCTTGACACCAACGTTTGGTAAGTTGAGGCCCACTTTCCCATTGCTGTGGGGCTGAAGGCGGAGAAATGTTCTCAAGTTCAAGGCCACAGCCAGGGCTACCTATAGAACAAAGGGCAAAGGCCATGAGCCTGAGGGTGGGTGGTAACAACCATGGCTCCCATCTTAGGGAAAAGGGGATGATGTCACTGCACTGAGAAAAGAGAGCACCACACAGGCCACTCCCACCCAGGCCCTGGCAGACATTGCTAATCAACCCTGACACGCCCTCCTGCTGAGCCTGGGCACAACCACCACCAATCAACTAGGAGTTAATATCTACTTACATATTTGCCTTCCCCGTGCAAACCTTCAGAGGTTCGCAACACCAAGGAATGGCTTCCCCATAAGTACCATGCTTTCAAAGAACAGAACGTAAAAAGTGACAAAGAGGGATGGTGAAAGCATGAGCTTTGGGTTCAGATGGACTTAGGTTCACTCCCCGCTCTACCAGGGTTTATGGGACCTTGGTCCGGTGGCCAGCCCTCTCCCGAGCCCCAGCTTCCACACCAGTAAAACAGGGTAATGAAAATCTGACCCCGGGAGGAAACTGTGAGAGTTCCAGGAGACCACGCTTGTCTCAGACCCCTATGCTGGACCCTGCTCATCTTCCCGACCTCTGCCTGTTGAAGTGGCCCCAGAATTCAACCCTCAAACCTCTGCTCTCCACCCAAGCTCGCTGCTTGAGTGATCTTCCCCCACGCGCAGGGTTGTGCATGTCGTCGTTTTGCTCTCCCGCTGAGTGAGCCAGAGAAGCCTTAGGTGGACACGAGACCCGTCCTGTCCTTGCCTGGCTGGGGAGAAACTGACCTCCTCTCTCATCTACTAACAGACTGAGCCCGAAGGCTTCCTTTCAGCGTTTAAGATTAGCATCAGGGAGAAATGCTGCCCAATCCTCGGAGGCTTGGGGGCCTTTTACCTTTCCATGGACCACGGCATGTTCTCCGTGAAGGATGACCTTCCCTGGAGCGGACACCAGCAGGACTTGCGACAACATGGCTCCTGAGAATCCTGAAAGGGCAACCCAGATTGTAGAGATCTTATAAAATGCCTAGTTCAATCTCATTGTTATAATAATACTAACAACAACAATAATAAAGGCAGCTGCAGTGCAGCAGCTATTAGCTGGACACATCAGAAAGATCTGGGTTCAAACCCCAGCTCTTCTACTCCCCAGGGATGTCATCACAGCTAACTCACTGAAATGACTTTGAACCTCAGCTTCCTCACATGCTACATGGGGACAAGAAATGTACTTATCCCAGTAAGTTTGGGGGAGGTTAAAGTAAATAATGCCAGGGAAACACTTAGCAGTGTCTGACAATTCATAATCACTTGATTACTGACAGCTGCTTATTACTGGCTCTGTCTTTGGTCCCAGGTTTTATTACTACTGCTATTAAAGGCAGAGGTTGGTTTTTTTTAAATATTTTATTTATTTATTTCTAGAGAGGGGAGGGGTGGGAGAAAGAGAGGGAGAGAAACATCACCGAGTGGTTGCCTCTCGCACGCTCCCCATTGAGGACCTGGCCTGCAACCCAGGCATGTGCCCTGACTGGGAATCGAACCAGTGACCCTTTGGTTCACAGGCCAGTGCTCAATCCACTGAGCCACACCAGCCAGGGCTAAAGGCGAGATTTAAGTGAAGTCATGGACCAGAAAGAACTCTTTCCTGGACATTCAGCCGTTTCCAATGTATCACAGCCATAAACAGGCTGCAGAAAACAGCTATCATGCCCCTTTCTGCACTCGGAAGCAAGGATCTCTACCAACAGTCCTATAAAGTGACTGGCTGGGTCTACAGGTGTGCGCATTTTTAGAGTTTTATAAACAATGCAAAATTACTCTCTATTCAAGGCTTTACGTGCATTAGTTACCTCGATATAATAAGACCTGAACCTCACTATGGGCTAAGTACTACCGTAATTTCCGTTCCTTCGCAGGGGAAACTGAGGCTGAGCGGGGAAACCAACTGCTTTTTCCGAAGCTCAAAATCACGTCTCTCAGATTCGAGGTCCCGACCCCTCAGGATGGATTCTCAGAGTTGGGGGGACAGCCAGAGACGCCGGGAGCCTGGCCTAGGGTCGTCCTAAATGTCAGCTACGGGCTCGCACTTCCTGGCCCCGCAACCCCGGCCTCTCACCTGCCGCTGCCGCAGGCACTCAGCTCCCAAGTCCAAGTCACTCCGGGACTCCATCCCCGAGCGTACAAGCCTCTTCCTTCCGCCCAGCCAATCAGAGCGTCATGAGTTTCCCCGCCCAGCTCCCCCCATGAACCAATGGGAAACGAGACCCTGGGAGAGTTCCTCCCTGGGCTGAGAGCCACTGACCAATGGAAAATGATGGTTGAGGTGGCGTGGCTGGCGGTAGGTGGAGTCACCCTGGGACCTGGACGGGGGCCTGGCGGGGTCAACCCCGACAAAGTGGCTTGACACATGGCTATGTGGGCCCTGGGAGGCCGCCTTGGCCTTCGCGGGTGCCTCGGGGCCGGCAGGCTACTTTGTCCCCGTTTCCAGAGCCGCGGTTTCCCGGGCGCGGAAGACGGGGACGGGTAAGTGCCTGCCTGGGAGGGTAACTTGAACACCTGGAATTGTGTTCACCATAATTACATTACACTAATGTGAGGTCACCGTGCACCTACCAGGTGACGGCCTCCGTCCTGACGTCACCGTGGAAGTGTAGGCACCTAGAAGCCAGAGAACAAGATTTCATTGCACAAGAAAAGTCTGATCGAAGCTCAGGGCAGAGCATATCCCATGTGGGCCAGGAGGGCCGCCTTGCCTGGCTTCACAGTCGGAAGGGGCCTCAATTCCGATTTTCATCTTTCCCCAAAGCAGTTTATACTTTCAGACACAGACATACACCACGTGATCTAAACAAGACTGTCATCATACACCTTGAAACTTGCACCCCATTCAGAACCTGCAGAGTACCGTGAATTAATAATGGAGTCATATATTATTCATAGATCCACTCATTTACCCTATGAGTAATCTTGTAATGTCATGTTATAATGTGGAACTCTGAATTTCTCCTACTTGAAAATGACAGTTTTTGAACCTTGTTTTGGCAATTCTTTATTTCTGAGTATCTTGAAGTTTCATAGAATGGAAGCGGCCTATGTTTCTTTCCCTCCAAGAGGCCCTGGCTTAGTGGAGTAGATGGTAAGAGTTTGGGCAGAGTAGAAGCAACAGTTTGGGGTCCAGAGGAAGATGGTCTTGGACATGAGTCCCAGCCCTCCCTCCTTCTCCCTGGGAGACCTAGGAAGGTGGGTGTCGGCTTGTGAGCTACAGTTTTCTTAACGGTAAAATGAAGGTCATAGGCAGTGCCTACCTTTGGGTTGTGGAAAGGGCTAATTTCAGGAGGTAATGCCGGTAATCTGCTTAGCACTGTGCAGGGATTGTGGAGAACTGATTGATAAATTCTTTCAGTGAATATTTATTGAGCTTCCACTTTGAACAATGCACCACATCAGCTACTCTGCAGACGTGGATGTGTCTCACCCACAAAGGGCTTACAACAAAGGGATTGGAGGGGAGGGATGTCAACAGGGGAATTGAGCCTGGGGGTGAGGGGGCAGCAAGGGTTGCCCCTGAGCCCACGAGCAGCGAGCTGGGACCCACAGAGGGAGGTGCCCCACTGTGTAACCCATCCCCACTCACCGCCTCTTGGTGCCTGTTTTCTCATTAGGCCACAGCCTTCCTCGAAGTCACCCAAGATCCCCAAGATTTACACCAAAACAGGAGATAAAGGTAGGGTGGGGAACAGGTGGAAAATGCAAACAGAGATGTGGAAGACTCCATTTTAAAGTTCTTCCAAATCCTTTGCAACCATTAAAAAGTGTGTGACGGATCTCAGAATACGACACCAAGACGTAAGGTGATATGAAAGAGGCCCAAAAATCCACCCAGTGATAAAAGCGAGTTGCAGAACAATCCAAACACTCAGAACCCCTGGGAGGGAGATTGAGTTGTGGGAGAGGGGGATGGGCAGAAGGGCTTTCATTGTTCACTGTACCTACTTTTAGGCCATTATTTTTTCTAACCAGCATGGATCGCTTTGGTGATATAAGTAGCAGGACATATTGTCCTATAGGAAAAAAGGATATATCAGTATAATACCATTTTCTAAAGTTAAAACCACGCAGATCACTAGTGTACATTGTTTCGTGTAGACACAGCAGGTCCTCCAATATCGTTGTGTCATTCAGTGTCATCGATTAGGTTGATGAGATGCAGTGGACCTTAACTCTTGTATGGATTAATTAGCCTATGGTGAAATTGGTTTTGTTATACATCATTTCTGTGGTGTCAAGAACCTATCCACTATGTTAAGTGAGACCTTCCTGTGTACTTACATAGTAAAGGTATAAAACAAAGCACAGGATGTACTTAATGCCAATGAACTGTACCCTTCAAAATGGTTAAAATGGCAAGTTTTATATTATATATATAATATATATATATATATGTTACCACAGTTAAAACCAAGAAAATATGTATAGGAATGACAAAGAAGGTGGTTAGTGTTGATGCCCTCCAGGCAAAGACCTCCAGGGACAATCTGGTCAGAAAAGGTCGGTCAGTTGGCTCATTGCAACCGGAGATGGGGCAGCTCCACACCATGGGAACCGCGGGCAGCTAGGTAAGAGGACCTGGAAAGGGCTTTAGGACTGGGCTTGTGTTCGGTGACTTGGGGAAAGTGCTGGAGCAAGTAGGGCTCTGCTCTGGATTGGGTGATGTCAGAAGCAAGGATAATTCTGTGACTAGGTATCTCAATCCTTTCAGTCTAGAAGGGGAGAGGAGCCAAGAGGGGCCAAGCGGTAACTGATAAAGAAGCGGCCGTCACATTAGCCAGGAGGGGGCGATGTTTGGTCGTCTTGGCAGTTCAGACAGTGTTCCCTGCTCACTCGTGATAGCCGGCGTCCAGTTTTGGTCTCGATCTGTCGTAATCACAGGGTGGCTCATCTGACGGTGTTCTGTTCAACCAGAGAACACGGCAACCTACCCCTGAGTGCCAGGCCGGCCCCTGGCAGTGCCGGAGCCTATCTAGATGTTGCCGGTCCAGCTCCTGGCTGTCGGGAGCGGGTTTTGGGGGAGAAATGTAGGAAATGTGACATGGGTAGAAATACAGAGCCCTTTGGTTTCATGTGAAATATAATTGCAACGTATATGTAACATGCATTTATATGCCTTATTTCTTTAGCAGGATGTTTGATACATGACTGTTAAGTATAAAACACATCAAGAAAGAAGTGCACATGGTGGTTACCCTTGAGTGGTCACCACCCCTGAAAGGGGGTGCACGTGGGCTTCTAGGGTGCTGGTCGAGTTCTCTTCCCTGACACGAGTGCCTGTCACAGAGGTATAGTCAGTTAGCAGCAGTCCATCCACTTGTGCGCTTGTGATCTGAGCACTTTTCTGTGTGTGTGTTATTCTGGAAATAGGAAGTTTTCCAAACAATGCATAGCAGGAAAAAAATGTCCTATTTTAAGGTGGCTAACCTTGTTTTTCACAGGGTTTTCCAGCACCTTCACTGGAGAACGGCGGTCCAAAGATGACCAGGTGTTTGAAGCTTTGGGAACTACAGATGAATTAAGCTCAGCTATTGGGTAAGGCGGATGGGATTGGTCTCGAGGCCGAGATTGAACTGGGCAGCCGTGGATGTAATGATCATGTAGCCTTGAGATTGCATCTGGTCCCCGAGGCTGCCGACCCTTGCCAAGCAAGACAGAGCCTGGGGAGGCAAATTCTTTTTCCTTTTGCCTCATAGGTTTGCCATGGAATTAATTGCAGAAAAGGGCCACCCATTTGCTGAAGAGCTTGAGAAAGTGAGTAACATTGTCTCGCCCCAAGGTGGGATTTTTTTTTTTTATCCCTGAGGCCTGGTGACTGTAACCAGATTTGCCATTCAATTGTCACCTCCTCTCTGTGTCACTGGGACTAGTCACTCTTCCTCCGAGCCTCAGTTTCTCCGTCTGTAAAATGGGGACACGGAGATCCTCCTCCCTCCCGGACAAGAGAGGGCAATGGAAAAAGGCTAGTGCTCTCTGCGCCCCTGGGGACACCTGGGCATGTCTGGAGACACATTTGGTTGTCACAAGTGGAGGCGGACGTTCTGGTGGGTAGAGGCCAGGGACACCGCTAGACATCCTACGGTGCACAGGACAGTCCCCACCACAGAATGACATGGCCCAAATGTCGGTAGCAAGGAGGTTGAGAAAGGCGAGCCCTCTGCCAGGGGGCCTTATGGTCATGAGCATAACCGTTCTGCTCCCCGGCACCGGAGGCTCTGATCCACAGAGAGGAATTCAGAATTGGAGACGGGGATGGTCTCCCTGGAACACCCAGGATATGTCCCAGGTTTCGGCCACATGCTGACCTGCACCTTGAGAAACGGCTCCTGGACGGATGGTCAGCCCTCAGCCCGCGTCAGTCCTCAGCCCTCTGCCCCTCTGGGCCAGGCTGAGCAGACAGGGGGTGGGGGGGGTAGGGAGGGGACTGCGGAAGGATGGGAGGCCTCGACGGCTGGGACCTTCTGTGAATGAGGCACCTCCTGTGTGATGGAGGAGCATTTTCAGCGTCGTGATGGGGAACTGTCCACGCCCCCAGTGGTCATCTCTGCCCGCTGCGAGCATCTCTGAGCTGGGCTGGCCGAGGGAGAGCTGGGCTCTGACGTGATGAGCGCCGCCAGGCTTTCGGCTTCTGTCCTTTGAGTCACAGCTCCAACATCACCGCACCCAGTGCCGCCCCATCCCCTCTGCCTCCAGCTGGGCTGGGCGCCTCTCCCGGGTTTCCACAGCCCCCATGCCTCCCCTCCGACGGCAGACATCACCAGGAGTGTCAAACCGCCTGCTCCCAGCCAGGGCACCTGCGCCTTGTTCCCCTGCGGGCCCAGTCTGTCCCCCACGGGCTGCCGGCTAGCCGGGCCTGCGGGAGATGGCCAGGCAGACGGGATCCCACCTGATCCTCGCAGGAGCCCAGAAAGGGCGACTTGCCCAAGACCCCACAGCCGCAGATCGGCGAAGCGGGGATCCGACCCCCACACCAGGGCCGGCTCTCACCAGTGTCCCCTGGGGTGATCACCGAAGTCGCCAGCCCGTGGCCAATGCTGTTGCTCCCCGCCCACCGAAGCCACAGGCGGCAGGCAGCCCGTGACTCACGCGGGGTCTGCTGATCGGCAGCCCAGGGAGTGTCCAGTCTGCTGCTGCGGGGGGGGGGGGGCATGCTAATCGGCTGCATCCTGCTCCTGGCACACTGTCACAGTGGCCATCTTACCAGAGGTCCCAGAGCTCCGCTCCCCACAGCCCACAGCCCACCACCCAGCTCAAGTGGACCCTGGCCAGGCACAGTCAGATGGGCGTGTGTGGGTCTCGTCGGCACAGGAGCCCGTGCGCCGTCTGCCACACAGGGGCCTGGAGCCCTTTAAGCAGAGCCCAACGGGCCACCTCCATTGTACGCAGCCCCCATCACCCCTCGGAGCACCGGCCTCGCCCAGCCACACTCCCCGCCCCTGAAACACCCCACACGCTTCCATGGACCGTGTTCTCTGTGGCCCTGTCCTTTGTAATTGAGAAGGCACTGTCAGGCACAGTCCCTTGACTCGGCTGTTACAGGTCAGAAAAAGCTGTCACTTTAGAGAAAAGAAAAACAAACGTCCCAGGGCCCAGGCTCCTGGGAGACACGAGGGTCAGGGTGAGAAGCTCCCAGCTGCCCATCACTGGGCCCTTGGCGCTCACTGTCTCTGGAACCCAGCATTACCCAGCTGTCCCCAAGGGAGCCCCCTCTCAGCAGGGCTGGTGTCCAGACAGAGTTCGCTAACTAGCCTTTAGATGCCAGCTAATCAAAGGTTCCGACAGCCCCCAGCAGACCAGCCCCCGCAGGCCTTGCTCAGTCAGGTGGTGCCTTTGCCCAGGGAACCGCCTGGCCTCTACTTGGCCCCCAACACCAAACCTCATTCACGCCCTCTGTTGCCCCCCGCAGATCCAGTGCTCCCTGCAGGACGTCGGCTCCGCCCTGGCGACCCCGCGCTCCTCGGCCAGGGAGGCCCACTTGAGTAATTCTGTCTGGGCCCCTTGTGTGCGCTCAGAGGGCCCCGTGGGGGCTGGGGCGGAGGGCGAGGGCTCTCCCGGGTATCACCTGGGACCCTGGTCGGCTTGTCCCGCAGCCCGAGTGGGAAGGAACCTTTCGAAATAGTGGGAGTGGCTTGGAGGGCACCGGGCAGATGGACCCAGGGGGTGGGCTCTTCAACGATCCTCGGGCTGTGGGCCTCATGGCCATGTCCTACTCCTTGACTCCCCAGAGCACACCGCGTTTGGGATGGGCCGCATCCTGGAGCTGGAGCAGTGGATCGACAGATACTCCAGCCAGCTGCCCCCGCTCACGGCTTTCATTCTGCCTGTAGGTATGGGGCAGCCTCAGCCGGGGGGCGAGGGGGCGGTGTGGGCTGCAGGCCAGTGTCCTGACAGAAACACGTGGGCATTGAATAAGTCCCCCTCTTTAATGTTCTGCAGTGACAGCTCTCCCCCAGGCCCCCCGCAGACCCTCTCTGGCCCCTCCCAGCTCTGTCCACTCTTCGGGGGAGGTGGCCAGTGGCTGGCCCTGGCAGGGCATCCTGCATGCAGATCACTGCCTGCTGGGGCGCAGGGCCAGCTCCCCGCCCGAGGAGCTCCCTGCCGGCAGCGGGCACACCCGCCCGGCCCTCTGCCCCAGCCAACGCTCCCTTCTCCTTTCAGTCAGGAGGCAAGAGCAGCTCCGCGCTGCATTTGTGCCGGGCCGTGTGCCGCCGAGCTGAGAGACGGTAAGGGGCCCGGGGAGAGGGAGCAGGAGCCTGGTCAGAGTGGGAGGAGGGCCGGTGGGGTGACCTCCGTGCCACCCAGACACCCATCAGCAGACCTCCTGGCTCCTTCACGGTGCCGGGTGGACGCCAGGCCAGACCACGTCCCTGCCCTGAGAGCCCTGCCCTGTGGAGAGCAGGCGAGGATCTGTGACCAGACAAATGACACTCGAGGTAACTGCACGCCCAGACCAGAGCTTGCAGAGAAACAAGCAGTTATAGGGGACAGCGGTCCTCGTGGGTTTAGTTGGTCATTGTAGCACTCACGTGGAATGACATTCCGAAGGGCACTCAGGGAACATTCCCTCCTGCGCCCCAGCTGCCCCATTCCTGGGGGGGTGACCTTAGGGGGGCAGTCTGAGCTGAACAGAAATGACTGCCGGGCCCACGCTGCGGTAGGGGCTGTGCAGGAGGCCGCAGGGTGCAGGGTGACCCAGCCCGGGCACAGGGAGGGTCTCTCTCAGTCGTGCTGTGGGAGCCAAGAGGGGAAGGGCCAGTGGGGGAGCCAGAGAGTTCAGGGCAAGAGGACAGGGAGGCCAGAGGCAGTAGTCTGCACTGAAAGCATGGGGAGGCGGCCAGGTGTCTGAACCAGAGTGAGGGCACGGGGTTCAGGGGACCAGCGGCTGAGCTGAGGCTGGGCCAGGCAGGGCCTCAGAGGCCCACAGGGGCCCATCCGTACCCTGGGGGCAGCAGGAGGCCACTGGTGGGTCTTATTTAGGCCATGCGGTGACATGAAGGGACCTTGCTGGGTAAAGAAGGGCCCGGGGGACCCACGTGGCTGTGGGGGGTGCCAGTGGAAGCTCTGAACAGGCGAGCCACCTGCCACCCCAACCCCTCAACTCAGAGCCCGGGAGAGGAGGGACCCCCAGAGCTACTGGCAGCCTTTTCAGTGAAACCAAAGGTTATTACAAAACCTCACTGACCCCACCCCTAGACCAGCCGCCACTCAGCCTCCCAGAGAAATGGAAGTAAAACCTTACTGTGAGACCACAGTCAGGGCCGTGCCAGACACCAATAGTCATTCTTTCACTAGTTCCCCATGATGATCCTGGGAGAGGGGTGGTGGCAGCCCCCACTTTACAGGGGCCAGGAAACTGGGGCTCAGAGAGGTGACATTAGGGCTCGTGTCCCCTGAGTGGTTCGTGGCAGGAGTGTGGAGTGGGGCCCAGGTGTGTCTGGGCCAAACCCAAGCTCTGTGCACGGCCCTCCACCACGAAGCTTCCATCCCCACGGAAGGCTCTTGGGCCCACACTGCTCCGAAAGGGATCCTGGGGAACAGAAAGAGCTTTGGCTTCCAAAGGAGAAAGCGGTCATTTGTACAAAGCCCCACCTCAGCCATACTTACAGTAGCAAACAACTGGAGACGACCCAAAGCCCCAATGTGGGGAATGGCTGAGCGGAGGAGGGGTCCCCAGTCCACCAAGCAGGAGACGTGCACGTGGAACACCACCAGGCGAAAAGCCCCCTGGGCAGGGGACACAAACCTCAGTTTGGGGACAGCGTCTCCCAGCAAGGGTTACGCAGTGGACGTGATGTGCACGAAGGGCCTGCCCCATCGTAGGCGCCCGGCAGGCAGCGGTGCGCCATCCAGAACGTCCACGTAGACGGGCAAGGACAGCAGGTCCAGCTGCAGCGGCTGCAATGGGCTGGCTTGGGACGCAGCCCCAGGTCCTACAGTGCGCTGACCCCGCGTGATGCTGTGTGTCCTCGCTTTCCAGGGTGGTGCCTCTGGTCCAGATGGGTGAGACAGATGCAAACGTGGCCAAGTTCTTAAACAGGTACTTGGGTGGAATTTGGAGATGACTCTCTCCCCGAAAAACAGGACGCACTATGGGGAGTGACAGCAATGGAATGGTGTTACTTCTATTTCATTTCATTGCGTTTCATTCATTTCATTTCCCTGAGGACCCTCTCACAGCCAGTCCCCTCCTCACAAGGCCCCCGGGCAGTGCTAGCTGAGAGGGGACAGCCAGGCACAGTGAGTTCAGGACCACCCAGGCTCAGGGCCCCGGCACAGGACCCGGTACACTGGCCAGCCCCAGTGGGGGGGCCCTGCAGGCCCTCACTTGGCCTGCACAGCCGGGGCCGCAGCTGGCCCAAGGCCTGCCCCACTGGGTGCCGCTCCAGCCTGGGTTCGTGCAGTGTTAGCACGGGCAGGGCCAGCACCCAGGGCAGGCCAAGGGCTGGGGACTCCTGGGAGCTGGCCTGGGTGTCCAGAAAGTGGCCTCACAGCTAGGATCTGGGCCCTTATTGTGGCCACTCCTCCCACAGGGACATGGGCTGTACTGTGATGGGTCCAGACCCACTCCTTTCCACTTGTGAGGGGGTAGGCCTCAGCGGGGCGAGGCACGTGGCATTCCTGGTCACAGCAGTGACTCCGTTGGGGAGCCCTCGTCACTGGAAAGGGCCCCGGACCAAGGCAGGTCTGCCCCAGCACCGACTGGAGTGTGTGGGCTCTGGGCTTCATGCAGGAAAGGTTTTCCAGGTGATTTAGAGGGTGCATTTATTAAAGCTGGGGTCAGGGAAACAAAGAAAGGCTTAAGACAGAGGGGGCATGATCACAGCAGGGAGCGAGGCTAGGCAGAGGCGCGTGGACTTGGGAAAGGGCGGCATGGTGACAGGGGAGCCTCGCTGGGCGGCGTGGATGCAGGAAATGAGTCGCAGAGGCCAAAGAGAGCCCCTGGAGAGAGGTGCCGGGGGTGAGCCCGGGAGGAGCTGCCGCCGCCTGCTGCTCCCCTGGTTGCAAGTGCTGGGGGGCCCCTTCCAGCGTAGGAGAGGGAAAGCGAAAGTACACGCCTGAGGAAGGGGCTGGCAGCCTTTGTCTTAAGGGATTTTATCCGTTTTCTAAAAGCAGGTGTTTTAGGGGAGGTCCCAGGGGAGGGTCTCGACAGAGTATTCAACAGCTGTCCAGGTGTGGCCTTCTACATGCTGGTGTGCCCACACGGGTGCATTGTACTGGGGAGTTTTGCATCCTTCTCCGGTCAGCTTTGCTCGTGTCTTGGATTTGTCAGGTTCTAACTGGGCTTTTTAGTGACTCGTTCCCCTGACTCCGTCCGCTCTGGGGTTTGGCCAGCGCTCATGGCACCCACCAGCCCTCTATTATCTGTCCCCGTGACCGGGGTGGGTTGGGCCGCTGGCTCCGGCTGGGGAAGGAGGGGAGCTGTCAACCACCTGCTCCTCAGTGTCCTGGGTTTGGGAAGATAAGGTCCTGCCGTTCATTAGCAGGTGGTCAATTGTGCGGTCTTGTATGTTCATTTACTTTTTTCCTGGCCTGGTTTAAGTATTTGTTTCAGTTTTCCTCATTCCACTGGCCAAGGAATTTTCCTAGCCTCTTCCTCTCCTGCCTCCCCAATAGCCCTGTAGTGTTCTGAGGGCTGGGTCAGTCCATTCCCCCTGCAAAGAAGGTGTCGGTGAGGGTGTAAGAAACAGACACCTCGGGGCTGGCGGGTGTGGGGAGGGGAGGACTGGCCAGGGTGGGGAAGGTTCCTGCAGGATCCGCTGGAGCTGGCCTGGGGGTAGGAGTGGGGCAGGGGGAGATAGAGGAGGCAGTGCTCGGTGCCCTGCAAGAAAACAAGGAGAAGCGCAGGAGGCTCAGAGGTGGGGGCTGCTGCACTCACTGAAAGCACTCTCAAGGGGTCTCCTCTTGTAGTTTTCTCCACCCCGACTCCTGTGCTGAGGCCCCGTCCCCGGGGGTTCAAAGAAAGAAGAGGGAGAGGGACGAGGCTCCGGCCACTAGAGCACTCCGGGCCAGTGCTTCTCAGCCGGGGCACCTGGCAGTGTCTGGGGTCACGTTTGGTCGAGACAGCTGGGTGGGGGCCGGGGATGCTGCCCAGTGTCCCACAGCGCCCAGGACAGCCCCCTCCCCCCACCACAGAGTCATTTGGAAAGTCAGTCGCTCAGAGGCTGAGAACCCTGCTCTAGACACCTCCACTCGGAGCAGGCCCTCAGACCAGCAGCGCCCGCATCCCCTGGCACGGGTTCGACCGGCAGAGTCCCAGGCCCGGCCTGGCTGCCCCGAGGCGGGGCCTGCAGGTCGCCAGCATCCCCTGGACCTGTGCGCACGCTCCAGTTTGGGAGGCACAGGTCCTGGTCACTGGGAGGTGCAGAAAGCAGCCCAGGAAGTGGTCCAAAGTCACCAGCCCCGTGAGGTTGGGCGGGGGCAGTGGCCTTGTCCTGTAGGAGCCCCCCAGCCCTGGCGCCAGAGCCGGGCACCCGGTGCTCACGGAAGCCGGCCCTGAGTGCCATCCATCAAGTCCAAGTCGGCCGATACTCATGTCCCACCCGATGCTCTCGGGGGCCGTGATTTATATTTCCTCCTCGAAGGCTAATAGGGGGAGGACCCAGTTAGCATTGATTGCTGCTTTCGGATCATTCCACCTGCTTCTCTCTGCCCCTGCAGGCTCAGCGACTATCTCTTCACCTTAGCCAGATACGCAGCCATGAAGGAGGGGAACCGAGAAAAAATATACAAGAAAAACGACCCGTCGGACTGAATCTGAGGCACTTGGAAATAATGGAAAGAGGGAGCCTTGTAAACCCTTCCGGGGTGGCTCTCGGGAAAAGGGGGGTTTGCCCTTTGTGTCCTGGCTCCGGAGGCTGGTCTTTTGTCCAAACTCAGCCGCCTTTCAGACCCCTGCCACCTCCCTCCAGGAGCTGGGGCTGCTGGAGAACCTGCACCCCCACCCCCAGGCTCTCCTTGGTGTTAGAGGCGGTGGGATTGACGTCAGTATTGCAGGAAAGAGAGGTGAAGTGATTGCTGTAATGAGAAGCAGCTGCCCCGACAAAGAATAAAAGTGGGGAAGGTTTGTACTGAGTGTGTGTGAGAGACAGTGTGTGTGCGGGGGAGAGGCTCTTCCACCGCCAGCTCGGCTTGTCCCAGGATTTGGAGCGGGACCCGAGGCCCTTGGAAATATAATTGTGACTCACCTGTGCCAAAGGGTCTTCAGATGTCACACTTATAAAGGGGAAGACAGACGGGATTTGGGAGCTGAGCCACCCGTCACCACCTAAGTGTGGGGCGAGGACAGGTGCGGCGTCGCACACACCCTGCACGGGCAGAAGCGTGCGGTGGGGGTGCAGCCTGGAGAACTTTGTCCAAGGGGTGCCTCACTCCATCCGGGGGTTGGGGGGGAAGGCCCAGGACGGAGAAGCACCGCCGCCCCAAGGAGGGCACGTCCTGCCCAGGCGGACGGGGGCCAGAGGCTGAGGTGGGACGTCGTCCGCTTGAGGCAGTGAGGTCTCCAGTTTCCGGCAGGCCGGCCCAGACGAGCCCTCCTTCCCCGATGCCGCACTTGGCTGGTTTACGCCTGAGATCCTCGCCGCGGCTGTATTTTATCGCACTTGTCACCACCGCTCCCTCCCGCCAGGACACGACGCTGCCAGCGCCAGCTGTGTCCTTGGGAAGGGGGATATTTATGAAGCGCGAGGAGGCGGCCCTGAGACCCTGAAGGCCCCACGCTGCTAACTGCAGGAAATGACTTCAGGAGGGCTCACCGTCCGCGGACATGTCCGTGAGCCCCCGGCAGCCGACCTGTATTTACTGGCTGCCCGGTCAGCATGGGGCAGCTCCGCGAGGCTGGGCGCTCCGTGGTCCTCTTGGCTGGCACATCAGCCCGTGTTGTTTTCTGGGTCCTTTGGTGCCCAGCAGGCTGCCGTGGCCGGACCGTGAGTGACAGTGGAAGCCGTCGGGGACACAGCCCCGTCCGGCTGACCCCCAGCCCGTGGTGAGCACCGGGTCTGGAGCGCGGCCGGGGCACAGTGTCCGAGGGTAGAGCTGAGAACGGTGGTGGCACGGACATTTCCTGGGAGGCCCACGGGCGCGGACTGTCCCACCGTGTGGGCATGCAGGCTGCTCCGCGGAGGACAGTGTCCCAAGAGCTTGCGGCAAACAGCTCCCTGCACTCAGCCCCGCCCGCCCCTCCGAATCTTCCAGGAGGGAGCAACACGGATACAGTGAAACTCCGGTCCCCCACGGAGGGCCAAGCCTCGGCGAAACACACCCCACAAAGGACGGGAGAAGCTCTCTGGGTGAATACAGCGTCCCAAAGCGACGCTCTTTGAAACAAGGCAGTTTGCCTGTCGCCGAATCCCGTCCCCACCGGCCCTTCCTGGGAGGGACTGTCACGGGCCCATCGTTAACCCGGGTTCCCAGGACACCCTCTGCACCTGCTCTCCACCTGCAGAGTTCCCTGGGAGACGCCCCGGTGCGGGGCAGACGTGGCATCTCCAGAGGCGTGCCCTGCGCCCCGACCTGGGAAGAACAGGCATCCTATCTGGGGGGCCCAGACGACGGGGTGGCTGGAAACCTTTCCTCACCCACAGAGCGTTACGAAGCCCCGTCGGGGAGCCTGAGGCAAGGCAGATGCGCACCCCTCGCACACCCACCACGATGCCCTCCCAGGCCCTGCACCCGGTCGGAAGAGGTAACAAGAGCCCCCCTGCGCCAGCAGTGAAAACACGAGACTCCCCAGAAAGCCCCGCGCGCCCCAGCTGTGTGCACCCACTGTTGGCCCTCGTGAGTGATCGTCCCCGCCGCCCAGGGGAGCGGGGCTGGGACAGGAACGCAGGCTTTTATTTAAAACCAGCACCTTGTTGATCATATTTTTTGTGCATAAATTTTTAAAATGCTGCATGAAAATATTACTTAATCTTGCTTCCTGGAGTCTGGGGCACTCCTGTGCATTGTGCCCCCAGGGGAGTGCTCCCCTGCCTCACCCGTGCTCAGGCCCTGCTCCCGGGAACAGGTTTAGTGCGGTCCTCGGAGGTGCGCTGGTGCTCGGACATCCCATCAGCGAGAACCCCGCTGGCATCGGGCCGGGCCGGGCCTCACTGCAGCCCTGGAGGGGGCCCACCTACCTACCCTTGCTCTGCAGGTGAGGGACTGAAGCTCAGGGCAGCATGCCCCTTGTCTCGGGGAGTCGGCACCACGATGTGGGCCCAGGGCGTGGCCTTGGGGCTCCTGGCCCAGTGCTCCCGGCCTCCCCTGCTGCGGCCACGTGACAGTCACGTTCATCACGGGCTGCCGAGAACAATGTCGGGCACTAATAGATTCCGCTGTCTCATTTCTCAACCTAGTTTCCCTTAACTGATATTTTTCATGGCTGTTGTTAATGCGCATTTATCACCGAGTAATTTCCACGGCCTGAACTTGTAACACATCCCAATGACAAACGTCTCCGGGCCCGAACCCCCCACCAGGTGCAATGTCACCCTTGCCGCCTCCCCGACACCTTCCGCCCGCCGACAGCCCATCCAGTTTTATGGTCGCCCTGTCCCAGTTATCACTGCTGAACCTTTGAGCATCCAGACACATTTCAAGTTTAATTGAATAAAATTCTTTGTATAATAAATCCTGCGTGAACGCTACATATGTCAGTGCCTGGGAGGATTTGTGGCTGACCTCCCCCTTCAGACCAGCCCGGGAACCTCGCTGGCGAGACGGGACCCAGGCTGGTCCCATCTTCCTTATTGAGGGGACCAAACTCACCTTTGCAGCCCGCCTGGGGTGCAGCTTGCACGCACCTGGGCCTGTCGCTTGTCTTCCCCAGGAGTCCCTCAGGGAAGACAGCGGTCCAGCCCAAGCAGAGGCAGGGAACGGGCAGGTTGGGGACACCCAGGAACTTGGGGGAGGTCCCTTTGTTCTCGCACTCCACAGAATCCGAAACTTCTGATGAAGGCTACACTCTCCCTGGGGAGATGCACACACACGTCCACAGTTCGAACACAAAACGAGGAAGTCTGTGGAAGCCCTAGGTAAGAATCCGTGCTCTAGAATCACCGGGGCAGCCCCCTCTTCAGGAGAGAATCGGACTCACAAGGCTGCCTGCTCGGCCTTGAAGTGTGAGGAGCATTTGGGGCTGTCGGGGGCGCTGGGGGTGAACTTCGGTGCTTGTGAGACTGTGCGGGACAGGGAGCAACAGCCTCGGGCAGTTCAAGCCCAGCTCTGTCCCTTCCGAGCTCCGTACTCCGGCCAGGCCATCCCATCTTCCTCAAGACTTGCTTCCTCACCTGTGAAGAGGGAAGGGCAATACAGCCGCCCCCCTTCAACCACGGGAGACGCGTGCCGAAGCCCCAGGCGGTGCCTGAAACCGCAGGTGTGCCGAGCCCCAGGTGCACCTGGTTGTTCCAGCGCACACGTGTCTGTGATAAAGGTTCATTTACAAGTTAGGCACAGTACGAGATTAACAATAACTAGTACAAGTTATAATGATAATATCCTGCGATAAAAAGGATGTGAACTCGGTCTCTCCAATCACGGAAACGCCCACTGAGTGACTGACGGGCGGCGAGGGTCTGCCGTGTGGATGTGCTCCGGGTGGGACAGAGTGAGCTGGCACGCGATTCCATCATGCTCCTCACAATGACACGCAGCTTAAAATTTATGGGTTAAAGCTGGAATATCCCATTCAATATGTTTGGATCATGGTTGACCACGGGGTGACGGAAACCATGGAAAGCGAAACCACGGATGGGGGGTACTGCTGTGATACTACCCATTGGGGCTGTGGGGAGAGCTCAGTGAGGCCATTTTAAAGGACAGCATACCCCCTGGCACACGTGAACAGCTATTATTATAGTTATTATTATTATTATCGTTATCATTAGAATGCAAGCTCTGGCCCTGCCACTTCTTTGCTGAGTCACCTTGAGGGAACGGTTTAACCACTCTGAGCTCAGTCCTCACCTTTCTTTCTTTTTTAATTTTTTTAAAGATTTTATTAATTTATTTTTAGAGAGGGAAGGGAGGGAGAGAGAGAGAAACATCAATGCGTGGTTGCTGGGGGCCGTGGCCTGCAACCCAGGTATGTGGCTTGACTGGGAATCGAACCTGCGACACTTTGGTTTGCAGCCCGGGCTCAATCCACTGAGCTACACTTAGCCAGGGCAGTCCTCACCTTTCATAACTGGTGATGCTATCAGCTTCCAAGGGTTCAGGGAGTAAACCCATGGGCCTGGCACATGGTAGCAGCTCAAAAAGAAAAAAATGCAGCTCTTGCTGTTGAACCGCATTCTATCCTTTTCAAAGCACTTCCAATGGCTTGGGCCCAGGAGAAGCCTGGAGGCCCACGAGCGGCGCCTCCGGTTTGTCCGGACTTGCTGAGGGCAGAGGAGGTGGGTGGCCACCAGGCGGTCTGGTCCCAGCCAGACAGGGGACACGGCTCTAGGAACTCCGTGCCAAGGTGAAAGGGAGAGGCGACAGACACCGAGTTTGAGCGCCGGCAGGGACCTCAGAGACCAGCGCCCCACTTCACAGAGGAGGGAACCGGGGCCCAGAGAGGAGAAACGCCTCGCTCGAGGCCACGTGTCTCCAGGAGGTGGAGCAAGGCCTTGAATCCGGGCCCCGTGCCTCCACCCCCACAACTGGCATCTGCTCGACACTAGGCTACATGCTCGGCTATAGCACAACGCCGGGGTTCTGTCTCCTTCGTTCACAGAACCCCACGAGGCACGCACAGTTATTCTCCCCCTTGCACAGGTGAGGAAGCTGAGGTTCAGAGGGGCGGCAGTTACATGCTCAGAATCCCAGTGTCCGCTGGGATGATGGTGATGGTTATGACGACATAATAACCCACTGACCTTTAATGAACTCTTCGTAGGCACGGAGCTTTGCAAACCACATCACCATGGCAACACGGGGGCAGCCCCCACGTGCACTGCGCATGTCCTCCCACAGCGGCCCCATGGGGTGGCTGGTAGAGTCTGTTTCAGACACAGACACTGAGGCACAGGGAGACGGCACCTTGGCCAAACACAGTGAGAAAGAGGCCAAACTTGGATTTGAACTCGAGTGTGTCTATCTCCGGCACTTACCTCTTTGCAGTGACGCAGACTCCTCGACGTCACCCTGTGGGCAGCAGCAGAGCCTGGACAAGGACGCTGGTCTTCCGAGTCCCGTGGGGGTGGCCCTCTTGGGATGGTGGCGGCGAGGACGTCGCTGACAGGGGAGAAGAGGGCACCGTGAACCCAGCAGGGCCCTCCTGACCCCACTACGAGCTACCTCTCCGAGGAAGGGGTGAGACGCAGCTGTCAGTTTGGGGACACGGGGGTGGAGGCAGCCAGGAGAACTGCTTAACTAAGTGGCAGAAAGGCATCCGGGACCTCGGGGTGGCTGGGGGACCTCTCCCCGGCCACCGCATGCTCCCAAGGCATGAATCCCGCGGCCCACACCCCTCCCCAGCGAGCAGGCGTCGTTATTTACGATCACCTTGGAAGGGTCGAACAGACATATGTTGCTAAGGGTCGTTTATTCTTGTTTATAAAATTTATGGCTTCACCTCGATTACACACTGTCAACACGGGAAGGATTGGCCCCAAAGTCTCTTGCCGCATGACTGCCTCAGACGTGCGTACATCTGTTAACTCCGTGGGAGCTGTAGAGGGAAATAAGGCTGATGATAACTCAAAAGCTCGCCGTCCCGTCACAGGTGTGGCCGGCAGGCCCCGAGAAAAGACATCCAGGTGCCTGCGTGGGAACCGAGGTTAGGGTCTGCCAGTGGCCATGCCGGGCGGCACTGGGACCCTGCTGCCGTCTGCAGGGGACTTCGGGCTGGGGACTGGGAGAGCAGGAACTGGATTCCAGTGGCCCCCAGGGGTCCTGCCGTGGGCCGGCAGCTGGAGAGAATTCTAAGCCTGTGGCTCTCCCCCTGCAGACTTCGGCAGGGAGAGAGAAACGTGACTCTTGGCTGCTGGGGGTATTGGAGGCAGGTACGACCTTTCAGGAGGGCAATCTGGCAACACAGACACGACTCCTAGAAGTGTGCATCCTTACGGCCCAGCATCTCCACGGCTGAGAAGTTCTCCGAAGGAAATAGATATATTGGTGGAGCTATTAAGATTTTTTTTCAGTGCAGTGCTGCTCATTACAGTGGAAATTTGCAAACAATTGTCCAACAATAAAGAGTTAGTTATTAAATAAGTAAATATTTAACAATAAGGGACTATAAGAAATATCATAAAGCTACAGAAAATGATAAGTGCTTACAGATTTATTACTATGGAAAATAATAATCTATTAAGTAAAAAAAAAAGAAACACCAAGTCAGCTCTGACCGGTGTGGCTCCGTGGAATGGTGTCGTCCTGCAAACCACAAGGTCACAGGTTTGATCCCTGGTTGGGGCACATGCCTGGGACGCAGGCCTGGTCCCCCATCAGAGGTGTGGGGGGAGCAACCAATTGATGTTTCTATCGCATGTCGATGTTTCTCTCCCTCTCTTTCTCCCTCCCTTCCTCCCTCTCTAAAAATAAAGAAAATCTTAAAAAAAAAAACCCAAGTTATAAAAAGACAATGGAGTAGGGGAGGGCTGAATGTGGGAGTTGAGGGTGGGTAGGGCAGGGGGAGAGTAATGGGAGGAAAATGGGGACAACTGTAATTGAACAATAAAAAATTTCAAAAACAAAGCCAAATGGTATAGTATGGATCTGACTCCTGTAAGAGAGACATGTGTGAGTGTATGTACCACAGAAAAAACACACAGAGCCGTTCCATGTGTTAACAATACTTATCTCTAAGTCAGGGGGCTAAGGGTGTTTTAATTTTCATTTTTTGTTTGTATTTTCCATGTTTTTGGAAAACAAGTTTGGGTTGGATTTGACCAAGGCTGATTGTGTAACACACATCAGTAAAGCAGAGGGAAGAAACTAACAAGCGCTTTTCCTGAAATCATCTGCGTCCCTTGGGATGTGTTCAGATGAGAGGAGGGTGCCCCCGGGCAGCCAAAGCCACCGCCCCCACCCCCCCCTGCCGACGTCTGGAAGCCCAGAGAGCAGATGGGGGGCTGGTTCTGCTGGAGACCACTGGCTATCATGAGTGCTGCCCCTGGGCAGCCTGAGGGTGGACACTCGGCTTCCAGCACCCTGGCCCTTGACGGCATTCAAGTACACTGGTGTTCTCCAGTCCTGCCTCCAGCCTGGTCCGCCGGTGCTCAGTATCTGCTAGTCAATTCCCTTCCTGTCCACGGGAAGCAGAGCTGGCTTTGGCTGCTTACAGCTCAAGAACGGTGGTTGGTGGGGGGTTGGGGGGGGGGCACTGTTACAGCAAACCAAGAGGGACGACCAAGGAACTCTGGCCATGGCTGCGGAAGCAGCAGCAAGTTCACTGTCACTACTAAGGCAGTTTGGGGGCCCAGGGGACAAGGCCTTCATAAAGAAGACGTAGCAGTCCCGAATGGCCCCAGTGCCCAGTGCACGAAGGAGCGGCTCCACAGGCGGGTGCTGCTCTAGTCCCACCTGGGTCCCTCCGTGGGGAGGACAGGGAGGGGCTGCCGCTTGTTGGGACAGGAGTGCGGAGCTGTGCAAGTGGCGGGGGTGGGGGGGGCCGACACTCCTGCAGCCTCCCTCTGCCTGGGAGCTTCGGTAAAGTGGGGGGATGGCCATAGAGCAGAGCGGGCCATCTTGTCCTCAGGTAGCCCCTCCCCCAGTCCTCCTCAGCTTTTTAAAAAGCTCTGTATCCGGGGACCAGTGCTCGATTGTCACCTCTCCTGGTCTTGCCAGGACTGGGGGAGACAGAACTCTGGGATCCTCGGCGAGTCCTTAAGAATGCTGCAGGGCCTTGTTGGCGAAGTGGGCGCAGTGGGACAGGGAAGGGCAGCAGGCACAGCAGGCTCCGCGCAAGGGACAGAGCAGCCCCTGGGGCTCTGCTGGAGTCTGGCAGACCCCCTCCTGCCTGCTGGTGCTGGGGGAGGCTCTGGAGTGTGCAGGCCACGGTACGGGTCTTGGCCTCCGTGTACAGACCCTGGGACCTTGGACCAGGGGCTTCCCATCTGGGAACTTCAGTTTTCCCAGCCACGAGGTGGCTTCCCCATCAGTGCGGCACGAGGCACTGGGGGCAAGTGGCCAGCATGTGACCACAGGTCTGCTTCGATTAGTTCTGCCTCCACCCCCTCCCCCGCCCCACAGTGAGCTCTGTAGGGCAGGGCGGTGTCCACGCCCTTCCCATCCGGTCCCTTCCCCAGCACCCAGCCCGTAGACATAGGTGGCTCCTGCGTGCCTACTTGCTGGATGAAAGGATGCGAGCCTTAACTTCCTGGCAGCCTGGCTTCCCGGGCCAGCTCCTGGCTGGGACACCTGCCAGCTGCCAGGCCCATCTGGCACCATCTGTGATTGTGACAAAGCCATCCGGGCCGCACGGCAGACTCCATGCGGCCCCTCTCTCCCGCATGCAGGGTGAGGCTCCCTTCCCTGGCCAGCGTCCCCGGGTGGGACACAAGCAGGCTGGGGAGAGTCGGAGGGGCCAGTCCCTGTGGGGATGGGACCTCGGAGCCCGTGTCCAGTGCAGGCGCCCAGTGCACGGAACAGCCTGCCTCCCACAGTGTTCAGCCGCTCTCGCCAGTTTAGGAAGTTCCAGGACGCACGTCTGAGGCCTGACGGGGTCCTGGACCTACCCATCAGCCAAACTCAGAGATGGCCCACCTGGCCAGGTGCCGTCACACACTCCGGCAGGTGACATCCGCTAGCCGCCAGGACGGAGGCAGGCCGATGGCGTCAGTGCAGTCGGGAGCAGGGAGACCAGTGTTCCTCTGCCGCCGGGCTCCACCCAGCCGTCTCGAGGCCCTCGCGGGTCGTCGGTGCATTACAATTGTCTTCGTTTTAATAATTATTTTTCCCTAGTTATAAACTTTACCTCTGGACAGAGAGCTTGTAATTACAAGCCACAATGTCATAGGAGGAGGCTTTAGATTTTAGGTGGGCGTGTCTCACACTGGAGGCTACCAATGTAATTTGGGGACCCTGCAGTACATTTTCCTTGGGGGGGGCGGGGGGTAGGGACGCTCGGTGTGCGAAGCCCTCCTGGGTGCCCCGGCTAGGTCCCAACTGCTACAAAAGGGTCTGTCGGGCTCTCAATGCCTCTGTCCCAAATCCCTGGGTTTCAAGGCCAGTGTCCTGCTCTGACCTTCAGGTGCCCCCAGGCCAGGGGGCGGGGCAGCGAGAGCCCCCAGAGGGGAAGAGCCACCCATGGTGGAGTTGGGAATGCGGGCAGATGGGTTTTCTGCTGAGTGCAAAGCTGGGTGTGTTTAACAGAACGAGACACACCGTGTGTCCCGTGTGCCCCGCAATCCGACCCTCACTCCCGGCGAAGGGCTGGGCGTGTCCAGGTGAAGCTGCAGGGTTTGCAGAACCCTGAACGGTCTGGGTTCTTCGCCACAGGCACCTCTGCCACCTTCGCACGTGACTCCCTGGAACGTGGACTGAGGGGTCACGGCTGCCTCTGGGAGGAAGGGGAGAGGGCGGGAGCGTGGACGGCCCAGAGGTGACCTGAGCTGTATCTGAAGTGTGTGACTTCTCACAACAGAACTGGACGCGAACGTGACAGAGTGCCAACCGCCCTAACTCTGGTTGGGCAGCGGGACTCGGGGCGCCACGTCGCCCCTCGTGTCTTCTCCCCACCTGGCGCCTGCCGCCTCCCACCCTGAGCTACGGAGGCACGGGGTCGGGAAGCGCGCTTTTGGGTAAAAAGCAGGACAAAGCCACCAGGGGCTGAAGTACAAATTTAATAAAGCCTTTGATCGCGTTTAGTCCATAAGTTATCTGTGAAAACAAAACCCCCGTGACTTTTTAGAGCCATCAAGAGCCGTCGGGTGTCGAGGAACACCAGCTGTGGAAGTACAGATTTAGTGTTTTAAATAGTGCAATGTTTCCAGCTGCTTAAGAGAAGAAATTAAATGAAATCACAAACTACCCCTCCTCGTCAAAAAAACAAAACCAAGGTGGATGTTGGTGCTTTGAAACCAGCCCCCCAGTCCCACACGCGGCTCCCGGGCACCGGGACTTGGGACGGACCACATCTCTGTGCGCAGGCCGGCGGTTACAAGGCCCCGCGTACACACGCAGACCTGCATGGCCCGTGCACACGTATGCACAAGAGACCTCGGAGGAACTGAGTGTTTATAGAGAGCAGCAAATCTCAGAATCAGAGGTTGCTAACAAATCTTAAATAGTAAATTCCTGTCTGTCTTTAAATTCCTTGCTGTCTTGTCATGAAAATAGAAACAGTCCGTTCTCCTGAAGCCAGGGGCGCTCCCGCAGCCAGGCTCGGGCGAGGATGGACCCTGGCACCCAGCACACGCCCTCTGACACGGGCCACAGGCGCGGGAAGGCTCCTCCTGCTGGAAGGCGCTCTGCTGCTGGGGAGAGGCCGCTCCTTGGGGCAGAGGGGGGACCGGGTGCCCCTGGCTGCTCCCTGGCTCAGGCTCTGCGGTGGGAGGCTGATGGGTGTGATGAGCGGGGCGGGGTTGGGGTGTCAACGCAGACTGACCACACGGCCTCTGCCTCAATGCCCTGGAGCTAGAGTCAAGTTCTCGTGGTGAAGATGAAGGATGAGGGCAGGCGAGCACAATGAGTTGAGGGGGAAAATGAAGAAAAATTTTAAAAAAACCACCACAACAAAGAAAACCAACCCAGAGGGCCGTGAGTTTCCTGAGCCTCGTGAGCTGAGTCAGTGCAAAGGGCTCCCGGGGCCCCTGTGCTGAGGAAGGGCGCTGCGAGGCCAAGGCTCTCGGGATTGTACGGTCGAGGGCGAAGGGGCGGTGCCTTCGGCTAACGTTGGTTCCTTCCCAGGTAACAGGCGGCAAACAGCAGGAGGAAGGCGGCCGCACCTCGAGAATCAGCAGGCTTCAGGAGTAGCCAGCGCTTTCTAGAAGCGCAGCTGCTCTGCACGGGCCAATGGGTTCCCCTGGCACACCCCGGATGCCAGCGTGAGGGCGCAGAGTGAGCCAGGGGAGGCTGCCGGCAGCCCGGCCTGCCGAGCGCTCGGGTCTCCGAGGTGAGAGCTGGGGAGGGGCTGCCACGTGGCTTCCCAGCGGGAGCCACCCAGACTTCCTGTGCTCCTGGCCTCCCCCGCCAGCGCCTCGGCCTCTCTGGGGAGCGGGTGCACTTGGCTGTCTGGAGAGAGCTGCTGGGGGTGGGACGGAGGAGGCAGAGGCTGTGCTGGGTGCATAGAGGCTGGGCAAGGCCTTACCTGAGTAGTTTTCAGAGAGGGAAGGAGAGTGTCTTACGCAAACTAGGCTCCGTGCCCTCAGGCCCGTCACGGACACCTCCCCGAGCCTGGGAGTGCCTGGGCCTGGCCCACGCACGGCTCACTCGGGAGGTCGAGGAGAGAGAGACTCAAGAGAAGACCCGACTACCAAAAGACGGGCCCCTCGAAGTCACAGGCCGGGCTCCAGGCCGCCGGGGTGCGGGAGGGAAGGACCCACGCTGGCGGAACCCGGAGGTGTATTTCCGACGCCCCTTCCCGTCAGTGGAGAACGCTGTGCGGAGTCGACGTGTGCATCCAAAGTTCTGGGGCCACAGGGGCGTCTCATGGCTATAGAGAGGGTCTGGGGGCCTCTGTTACCCACACCCCCGGGGGAGGCCGGGGTCCTCGAGGGCCGGCGGCCGGGGCCGGGAGCTAGGACAGCTCGAAGCCCGTGTTCATGCTGATGGCGTAGCGCAGCTTCTCGCGGAGCACGCTCTTCTTGCTGTAGTTGGGCAGCTTGAGCAGGTTGAAGCAGGTGGAGGAGGTGGGCAGACGGCCCCCAGGCTCCCGCTTGCGGATGGTGAAGAAGCCCCGCAGGACACTGCCCAGGGTGTCCCCGGTGTCCTGCAAGCACACACCGCGCCCGGGTTGGGAGATGCCTGGCGTGGGAGCCTGGGCCGCTGCCCACCGGGAGGCCTGGGGAGAGGCCCTGGCCAGCGCCCCGCCTTGGCACACCTGGGTCTGTGGGTGCGCATGCCACTGCCCAGGCCGGCCCCCAAACTGAGGACAAGCCCCGACCCTCGGGCCCTGCACGGGGAATCCTGTGTCACGTACACACTAGGAACTGGGGCCTTCCAGGTAGCCACCAATTATCGAGTAACCAGCTTTCAGAGTCAGAGTACCGTAAAAACATGTTTGGTCTCAAAACGTTTCCGAGTGCAGCCTGACATTCCCTCAGACCTTGCCGGTGCGGTGGCCCGTGGCAGACTGCTTTGGGCAGCATTCCTAGAGCGAGTGCCCCAGGGACCTGGACCCCTGGCTGCAGCCTCCTGAAACACAGGGACACTCACTGGCCACCAGGCTTTTAGGTGTGGGGGAGGGCGACAGTTTTAACAGGGCCGACCGCTGTTCGGGCGCCAGCCCCACCGAGCACGCCAGCCCCACAGCGCTCGCCCTTCCTTCATGGACCAGGACCGGAGCGGCTGCCCAGACGTGCACCCACAGGCGGAGGTCTGGCACTCGGGCCGATGCCTGCTCAGTGCCCAGGCCCACGTCCTCACCCCTGCCTTCCATGCTGCCCCTGACCGGGAGGCCTGGCCAGACCAGCAGCTACTCGAACGCCCGCAGCCACTCCTCCCTGAGGGAGTGACGAGAGAGGGACAGAGAGCTGAGCAGGCAGCCCTCCCGGCCAGCCGGCCGGCCGCCACTGACCTGTGGGGCTCTCTCCCCTGGCTCTGCGGAGCTCAGCAGCCTACCCTGGGGGGTGGGCCCAGCAGAAACCCTCCCCCCCACACCCTCCCCCAGCCCCAGCAGTGGTACCTGGTCGTCCGACACTTCGACACAGCGAATGGAGAACGGAGGCTTGAGGTAGGCGAAGCCCAGGAGCGGGGGCCTGGAGCAGCTGGTCACAAACTGCAACGCAAGGCGGGGTCAGGGGGCAGCGGGGCTCTCGGGCCCTGCCGTTGGCTGTGCGCTCTCCTTTCTCCAGACTCAGAGTCACTAACTGCTGCCTGGCCAGCAGGAGGGTCACAGAGGCACACTCGGCCCAGAAACGGGGACACACCTGACACCTCTCTGCAGGGCTGCGCACGGGGGCTAAAGCACGTGAATGCCACACCAGCAGACGTGACTAGTCATCTGTGGGCGTCTGGAGGAGAACGTGCGGCCAAAGAGTCCAGGAACGGCGCCAACTCCCACTGGGGGAGTGGCCTCCAGGGGGACTGTCATGCAGGTGGCAGGAATCCCTGCTGACCGACACCTTCCTCTGAGACGCCAGCCACTAGGGCCCCAGAAAGGAGACGTGGGGAGAAGCTAAGGTGAGGGACAGAGGGCTGGGCCCAGAGCTGGGGTGCAGGGAGCCCTGGTGCCGGTCATCCCACTTTGCACCGGCTTCTGCTCAGCCTCTCAGCCCTGCGGGCGGATGCGCACAAGCGCGCACCGGGGCCCCGGCCTGCTGGTTTACAGAGCGGTCTCCGCGAGCTTGGCTCCTGGGGGCCTCTCTCACCAACTGACCTGCTCTCAGCACGCCGACCAAAACCAGGCCTCGGGTCAGTGAGGCAGGAGGCAGGCCGGCCACCAGGCACAGTCAGCCACACTTCCCCGCCCCAGTCCCGGAACTCCTCGCGTCCTCCCGATGGCAGCGCCTGTGCCACCTCCCCGCGTGTGCTGCTGGCTCGAGCCCGGGCAGAGGCGTCTGACCGACCTAGACGCCCGAGTGATAACTCACACAGGGGAGTCCTAACGAGCCACTCGCGTCCTTTGGCATCAGCCAAAACTGCTCTCCCTTCTCTCTGTAGGACACAGGGACCTGCTACTCACAGCAAGCTTGCTTCAGAATCCTGTGGCGAGTTCAGCGCGTGAGTCTTAAAACGAACGCGGCCATTTAAACAGTGTTATAACTGGGTGTGCGATCCTGAGACCGTCCAAAGGCAGTGTGTGTGTCACTCTTCAGAACCAGATTTTTACGAAAGGGATCGACAAGACAGACTGCTGTCCTAACGCGTTTTCTCTCCCACCACAAAACCCGTAGATCGGCTCCCATTTAGAGAGCGCCGCTGGTGTCCGCACCGCCGAGCGCTCCGTGAACCCAGTCTCCTCCCCTCACCCCACGATGCTGTGTGGGTCGGGCTGTTTGAGGAGGAGGAGACAGACCTGGAAGCATCTGCACATCTCAGTTCAGGCGCTCAGGCCTGCTGCCTGCCCCAAGCTGGGGCCGGCAGGAGGGAGGGACACTCTGTCCCCCGGGACAGGAGGGCTAGCGGAGGGCCCAGGAAGCCCTCGGATATGCCATCGTCACATTTAAAGAAAGCACAGTCACACCCACTCCCTTACGACAGGGACTGCAGGTTTGGGGGCAGGCTCTCCAAAGATGCCCGCCCACTGCATGGGGCAGGACTGCACGGTCAGGAGACACCGGCTTTCCTCTTTCTAGGCGAGGCAGAGACAGTTGTGCCCACAAGAGACACTACTGGAAAAACAAGTCGATTCTCTTGAGACTCAACTTTGGGACTTATGTCCACGTGCCACCCCGAATCCCCTGAGATCTGTAGGGACAACCAGAGCATGTCTGCTTCTGTGGACTGAGGTCATGGCCTCCCGTAGGGGAATGACCTCTGCTTGGGATGACAAACCAAGGAGAAAGAAACCCCATTGCTATTTCAACTGGTGATGGTTCTGTCCATGAGGTCATGTGAGACCAGTCCAGAAACCTAGGTGTTGGCCAAAGAAAAATATTTCAAGGCACTTAAATTTACCCCAGAATACGGCAAAATGTTGATGATAAAACAGCGTGCAGAAGAGCAGATGGTCAAGTGATCTGATTCCACTGTTATAAAAACAAACACATACACAACACACACAGACAGGCGTGCCGTCCGGTGTCCTGCGAACACTTTGCTGGTGTCAGTACCAAACACAGCACGGTGGGCACTGGGGGAACATTTCGACTTTAAAGACACCAGCCCAGGGGTCCTGGCCAATGTATCTGCCAAAGATACACTAATATCCGCCTACTTGATTGTGTGTGTTTGATCAGGACACTGCACGTGGAACTGATGTTCACACTCTTGAGAAAAAGGGCAGCACACAGAGGTGGTCCCTCGTGGGTAGAAACGGAGATTCTTTAAGTCCTACACATTAGAAACAGAGATTGTCTGTCTGTCTCTATTTCCTTAAGGTAGTACACACTGTTTACCTCTTCAACAACAGGAAGGAGAGGAGGAGGCATCAGCGAGGCCAGCACCAGCGGAGGGGCCGAGCGAGTGCTGAGCCCCACGCGCCCGAGCCCTCTGCTTTCCACCTGACCCACCATCTAGGTCTGCCCACGGGACAGGGCACATCGTCACATTGACGATACGAGGTCCTCTCGATAATGTAATTTTTCCAGTGTAAATTATTACATCGCTCGCCTTCCAGATTCGTAAGGCTGTCTGTGCATGCACGAACGCATGTGTAGGTAACACATACAGTACCTTCAGAAACATGGCTCGCTCGCTGGGCGTGAAGTCGGAGGCCAGAATGTCCCAAAGCCAGATGATGACCCTGTGACTTCCATGGAAACCACCATAGTACACTGTGTGCTTCCTGAAAACAATCCAGACCGCGGGGTCAGCCACTCACAGACACAGACGAGCACTGAACTCAGACAAGCAGCACTACTAACTGCTCAGTTCCCTTACGGCTGGGAGTTCACGCCTTATGTCCCCGGAAGCTACATGGACAGGGAGTTCAAGAGCTGGCTGTGCTGTTCCCAACAGAAGGTCCTGCAATACTATTTCCTAGACCTTTAGAAAGCCCCTCGGTCCTCAAGAGCTGCTTCCACTTCAGTCTCTAGGCAGACAAATGGTTGAACTTTTATTCCTAAGCACCTCGCCCCAGGATCAGCAAGGAGTGCATTTAGAGATAGGCTCCCAAAATGACTTTCCAAAAGGAACCCGGCAAGGTAGCAGCTTGCTCTGAAGGCAGCCTATGAATTTCACCCTTGCCCCCTCACTCACTCCTTACTTTAAATCTTCCAGATCAATCTCAGCATTGTCACCGGAGATGAGACGCTGTAGCTCAGGGGTTGAGAACATCCGGATCCACTCGGGTTTGATAATAGAACGGAATCCGCTAATGAGGGCAGCTGTCTGGTTTTTGATTTGCGTGTGCATTCGAAAATGCGCCATCAGATGGATGTAGCTAATTCTGTTGCCAAGAAAAGAAAACAATGGAAATTAGCGGGACAGGGCAGGCTGTTCCCAGCGGGCTGGAAGATGAGTTCAGACATTTCTGAACCATTCTGCAAAACACAAACAGTACCGGAACATTTTACCATAACAACACAAATGACCATGATGAGAGCTCTCCTGAACAGTGGTACACTGTGTGCTGCCGTGGAGGCGGCAAACCTTCAAGGTCGTTACCTCATTCGCTCTTCAAAAACAAAAAACACAGTGGGTCGTACATCAGGACAACACCCCCACGTGTCAAGAATCAAAGCGGGACGATCTCCAGGTAAGGAGAGGGCCCTTCTTGGTACAAATGGTATTTTTTGGACTTGTATTTAATTTCATCCTTTTGGGCATATAAAGGGGGATGCCAAAAAACCCCCAAAATTTATTTTTATAAAAAAACTGTGCATTTATTCTTACACATTTGAACTTCAGTCAGCTTCCAGGGCTCCCCATTCGAGGCAGTGCACTTATTGGGGTGTTCTCTCCACTGCTCAAAGCAGTTCTCGAACTTGTCGATTTTAACACCTTTTAGTGCTTCTGCTGTTTTTTGTTTCGCCTCTTCCACATCAGCGAAACGTTTCCCTTTGAGGACTTTTTTCGTCAGGGGAAACCAAAAAATGTCGCTCGGGGTAAGACTGGGTGAATACGGAGGGGGCACAGGGTTCATGCTGTTTTTGGTCAAAAACTGCTGAACACTCAGTGTGGTGTGGGCAGGTGTACTCGTAAATCATAAAGTAGGCAAATACGTTGAAAAAGTCTTCAAAAAAACCTCACTGAAGTCGAAAGCAGCCTCTCACAACAATGCCAGCTGGTACACTGACACTGATGGGTTCCTAGAACACTCACCTAGCAGGAAAGCCTGTACTACAAGGGGGGCGGCCCCCATTCTAGAAGATAATTCTGTATTTTGGGGGGTATCCCCTTGTATAACAAAATATAATTCAGTCCCCCAAAAAGCCTTAAAGCCAAGAAAAAGTGCTTCATGTGAAACTTCAATCGAAACTAGCTAATCTGGACCAAGCGTCTAGGCCGCGAGCAGGAAGTCCGGGTGGAGTGCAGCTGGGTTACGCTGAGCCCCAGCTGGGGAGTCGGAGCGCTGGTGACGGCTCCAGGCAGCCGGTCTTCTGGGCCTGTGCTGTGAACACGACGGTCGCACCTACAACTGCACACTGCAGCACCGTTCTCTGGAACAGGCTGAGTACATTCCAACAGGCGTGCCAGCATCGCTGGTTTCTTGGCGAACCATCCAACTCTCAGAGACGAAAGACCCTGAGCCTAGTCCAGGTGCAGCTCCTGCCATTCTGAGTCAGTACAGTCCCGATAAATCAGCTGCACCCACGGCACTCAGATCTGAGTCACTGACCTTGAAAACATCCTTCTTTTAAAAAATTGTCCAGCAGCAAACCTGCCTATTAAAACAACCCAATATGACTTTTTCTATTATGGTTACTCCTTTCTCACATTCCCTGAAGCCAGTTACTAATACTGTCCCAATTTACCAAAAGAACTCAAGGGACTGTCCCGTTTAACACCTAGGAAGTGCAAGATCAAACATCGCCCCAAAGGAGGGAGAAACTGGCACTGCCAGGCCTTAAAGACAGCCCGCAGAGCTGGACACCCTTGCTCTCACGCTGAGGCTCCATGCTGGGACCGTGTCAGAGTTTCTACACAGCAGGCTCCCCGGCAGGGCAAGGACCCCACTCAACACGGGCCGCACCGACCCGTTCCCCTCCGCTGTCACACGCACGGCTCCTACCATCACCCGTGCCGTCACGTCTGGCAAACAGGCCAGAGTGAGGGTAGCTGGCTGTGTGTGGCGGGTCACGTGTTTGATGGTGGCGACAACCGGCACTCTCATTCCTTAGGGCCCTCCTCGGAGCCAGACTTCCTGGGAGGTGTTTCTCGCGCATCATCTCACGGGAAGCCCTCTGGAGGGCTGGCAGGAGGCCGCGTGGCTGGCAGAACAGGACCCACTGGCCCTGCCGCCTCCAGTCAGCCCCTCCCAAGCAGCTCTCTGCTCTCTCGGCTGCCCAACGACGCCCCAGGGCCAGGAGTCAAACTGGTCTACTTGGATCCCGACGAGAACTGCAGCCCTGCACTACGCATTCGCCTTTTCTGACCGTGCAGTCTGAACAAAAGCTCCCGAGCTGGCAGACCGACTGAACCGCCTGACCTGAGAGAGAAAGGATGCTCAGGGGCCCTGGGCTGCCGTGCGCATCTGGTCCCAGCGTCTCGCCGGTGGGACTGAGCTTTCACTTGTCACTGGAGAAAGGATCTGACACCCAGAGTACAGATCAGATGCTCGGCTGAGCCTGGCGGCGGGAGAAGGCTGACCGAGGAGAGGGCCGACACCTACTCCTCGGGCCAGGTCCCACTGTTCTAATTAGGTGAGAACAGAGCCGGAGGAGGCAGCGCACGGAAGGGTTTTGCTTCTGGGTACCAAAGAGGCTGACATGTATGGTAGATTCCTAAGAGCCTATTATCTCTGACAACAGCTGCTGGGCCTCAGAATCTCCCCACATCTAAGGGACCTGCCTGCTGCATCTGAACCCATTACTGTGCTTTCTCAAGAACAGTGTTTGATACAACTGCCACCTGCTGCCATTCTAAAGGGATCCACCCCTCCGTGGTGTCTCTCGGCCTTGGGGCCCCCTGGGATCAGGACGGCACGCCTGCACGGCTCAGAACCCGCCCGTCCACATCTGGAGCCACCATTAGGTCCCTGGGATCACTGCGGCCTGGCTGCCTCTGACCTTAGAAGTGCTACTGCAAAAAATAAATTGTCAATTCTTATTTTGCAAATCGAATTTAATGCAATTTTGGCCTATGAACTGTAACCAGTAAATTCCATTATGATATTTATGGCCTCTTTCTCCTTCAATCTATCTTAATAAATTCTCAAAGTAAGCCCGGAGAGCCAGAATGAAGTCTTTTCAAGTGCTGACCTTAAAAATCAAATCGCTATACTCACTTATTTTCATTTGTAACAGGAATGGTCTTCCCCCCAGGAACCAGTTCATGGCAGACGAGCTGGGGGAGAAGAGGGGGGACGATTACTTGGGAGAACTCTAAAGGGGGGAGAAAGCTCCCTGCAGACGAGAGGGCCGACACCCACGATCCCGGCAGGGTGAAGACGGGGCACGTGTGCCCACAGTCACTTTCATAGAAGCCTGGGCTTGAGCACGAGCAAGCCGGCCCTGCGCGGTCAGCATGAGAGGCTCCTTCCCGTCTGATCCTTGTTCAAACGTGTATGTTAAGGCTCTGGGATGGTGTGGGGGGGAGGGTGTTCGCATTCAGGAGCACAGTAGGATGACTAAGTAAATGTTGGTGCGCTCACGCCCTGGAATCCTGCGCAGCTGTTAAGAAATGTGATGAAAATGTGTACTATTGGAGAGGTGGGGGAGGAGGGGCCGTGTGCATGGCATTGTTTTACTTTCGTAAAAAAAACAAACAAACTGATGAGCGCGCCCAGGGAGAAAAATCTGGAAGGACACAGCCAAGGTAACAGTGGCACTGTCCGGGCACCACCAGCATTACAGGTGGTTTTCATTTTCATCTTTACGCTCATGTTATGACTAATATTTCATTAGAAGTTTGCATCAATTTTACAGTTAGGAGGGAAAATGAAGGATGTCAGGAGGAAGACTCAAAATCTGATTAAAGACTTGGAAACTCTGCGGAATCAGCTGCTTTCCTCATCTTCAAGAACTTCTGTGGGTCACCTAAAAAACTCAAAGAGTGCATTCATTGTTTCAAAGCTAATTTTAATAGAATTCTGTGACTGTAACTCTCAAGACGCAGAGACCTTGAAAAACAGCGACCCCTAGTGTCACTGCTGTGTGCATGGTGGGGCACGCCAGAAGACTTGAAAGCTAAAAGGGCTCTTAGGAGTTGCCCAGCCTGGTGTTTCCCATAAAGGGTTCCCAGGAACACCCTGTCTGTGAGCTGTGACCTTCAGACTCGTTCTCTGCGAGGGGTTCTGTGACCAATGCGCTGGGAAAGCCGAGGCTACATAACGACACTAGGCTTCTTGGAGCCCTCAGGCCAGCGTGCGTGGTGGCTCTTCGGCAGGATGGCAGGGCACGCAGGCATTTACAGAGCATCCGGCGACACTGGCCCATCAAGGGCTCACATTCGGCCAACAGTGCTTCTCTGAGGTAAGGGAACTGTGGCTTGGGGAGACCAAGTGACCTCTCTGGGGCGACAGGCAGGGCTCCGGGAGGCCAGCCCTGCACTGCAAGCTCATGACGCCGTCTCTCTAGAGCAGCCCTTAGGCCTGTGCACACGGACCCTGTGCAGGTGTCCACTGGGGCCCAAGGGGAAGGGCCAAAGGGCACATGTGAGAAGAGCTAAAAGGGAAACCTCGGGGAGCAACAGCTCTGCCACCCCGCTTCCAAGGGTCTTTTCTTTCTGCTCTGCTCTTCGTGACCAGTTGGAACAGACAGGATTCTGTTGGGGGCACTTCTGCTCAGTGACTTCCTCCCCCTTTCTAAGTCCCAGTCCTCCCTGTGTGACCGCTGGTCCTCACCATGGGAACGGAGAGCAGTGTTACTAACAGGGAGGTGCGGCTCCCATCAGGAATGACCCAGAGTGCGACCTCGGTAGAGCGAGGGGTCTCGGCAGAGCGAGGGCCGGGCAGGCAGCGGCCAAGTCAGCTGGGGCGGGAGGAGGAATGCCCTCCCTCCCGGCAAGGTGGGACAAGGGGGAGGGGTGGGCACGAGAGGCAGAGGGAAGAGAGGCCGCACAGACGGGCCCGCCGTCTGTGGACCCGCAGGGGACGGCACCGGAGCAGGGCAGGCCTCAGGAGGCCCGCGGAGGGAGAAAGAGGAGCCCAGACAGAGGCCGACCCACCTGACCCATGACGTCCTCGTCGTAGGACAGTGTCAGGCCCAGGTCAGCGATGTCCCCATCGTAGCGCTAATGCAAGAGAGAGGGGAGTGTCAGGATCCAGGAGGGCCCAGTCCTTGAGGAACTGAACACTCCTGCCCACCGAGTCTGCGTGCACACCAACTGCCGTGGCTGCTGTGTGGCCTGAAGCCAAGGCAAAGGCCACACTGACCACCTCGAGGAAGGACGCCACGGGCGTCAGTCCTGACAGGCAACTCCCAGAGGGCACGTGGGGGCCTGCGGGGGCCGCAAAGTGGGTGTCTTCCCCATGGCAGGAAACCTCCTGCTGCCATACCACACCCTGCGGGGTTCACCTCTGTGTCTTCCTGCCAGCGCCCCACCAAGTGCCCCCGACGCCTTTCCACACTGACCTTAATGGAGGTGAGGTTCTTATAGAACTCGGAGTCCAGGGAAGGCAGCTCGTCCACGGAGCTGTAGAAGACGCTGTGGTGGTGCCCGAGCAGCTGGCTCAGGAAGAAGGACGCGAAGGGCACGTCCACCACAATTCCCTGGGGGAGAGGGGACAGAGGCTCGCCACTGCCGTCTGCCCGGCTTCTGTCTCCGTGACCACGCAGGGCCAGCCCAGGCTCCAGTGGGCGCCAGGAGCATCCCGGGCACTTCCTGTATTTTCAACCTGGATGATACCGCCCCATCACGTATCAAGCACACCGAGTAACTCCTGGGGACATGAGGGCATGGTGGGTAAGGGCACAGCCTTTCGAGCTACGTGGCTCAGGGATCAAACCCCAGCTCTGCTGCTGCCTGGCCATGGGGCCTTGGGTTTTCCCTCTGTAAATGGGTAATAGTGCAGCCACTGTAAGAATGAAAGGGACGGGGCGTGGGGAGCAGAGACGACAGGCTCTCACCCAGAGGCAGAGCGGGGGAAGCCCAGGAGGGGAAGATACCCCAGCTAGACCTGTGGAGCACAAGGCCTCCCGCAGGAGGTCCACGGGCACGAACACGGACCTGGGGTCACAGCACAGTGTGAGAGGGGAGGGGGAGGGATGAGGCCGGAGAGGCAGGCAGGCCGGATCAGAAAGGGCCTCCTAAGCCTCCGGGAGTCTGGATTCTGTCCAGAGGGCAGCAGGGAGTGCTGGGAGGGCTCTCGGCAGAGAGGTGCCGCATTTGTAGGATGCCCGGAAAACCGCCCGCAGAGCGTACCAGGGCAGCGGCTGAGAGGGTGGAGAGAGGTGTGTGCACTGGGGAGACTCTGAGGGGACAGTCAGTGAGACTGCATCGTGGCCTGTCACAGCGGAGCAGGAGGGCTGTGTGAGCCCCCGAGTGCTGCTCCCCACTCGGGGCCCAGCATGCCCTAGTTTCGTTCATCTGCACTATCATCATTCCTGTTGCTCTGGAGCCCACAGTGAAGGCCACGGAGACTGGCCACTGACAGGCTCCTGTGGCAGCTCCACTCCCTCCGAGGAGCAGGACTCGCAGGGCTCGGGGTCAAGGGCCGCCGGAGGGAGAGCTGCAGCTCAGCTCTGGGTGGAGGGGCCCAGGCCTCAGCAGGGGCTGTGGAAGCCCACACCACCTGACCCCGTGGCACTCAGAAGACGAAGTCCAGAAACCCTTCCAGGGATGGCAGCTCCACTCCCCCGAGGGCCAGGTAACAGGCAACACAGGTGTTTTACCTGTATTCCCTCATTCGCCACCTACGGTAACCCAATAATGCATTTTCTATTCACTGCACTTCACGGTGAGAACGGCAACGTAAAGAAACGCGCAGTCCTGCGGCCAGTGAGGGAGACCAGGCTCGACCAGCCGCTCACTGTGGGCTACCTCCCACCTCCACGCTCCAGTCTGCAGGCACTTCCCAGGTACCTCCGGCCTACTTTGAAGCTCTCGCTCAAATAACAAAAGATTTTTTAAACAAATGTAACAACTGTCAAACACCATAAAACGCGGCTCACCTAGAGCCGTGGAGCCCTGGCCCTGGCACACCACTCCCGACCCCTCAGGGAGGCGGATGGCTGGCCAGGGAGACTCAGGCTGGCCTGGGCCCAAGTCTGGGTACCACTAGCCAGCAAGGAGACTCTGGACAAGTGGCTCTGAAGCCCCCGTCCTCTCTCCGTGTAGAAACAGGACAGCTGCCGCCAAGCCACAGGAGCGCTGAGGGGACTGAATGAGATGACAGACGGAAAGCGTTTCCGCACAGCGATCTCGTGCCCGCCCCCCTTCCTCGGCCCTGCCCCAGGGAAAGGCAGTTCACCCGGTGGGCCGGCCACACAAACGCACACAAGCCCACGGTACTGCTCACGTCTTTCTCCCTTTCCATTTCAGTGCCCCTGCCCGCGCCTACCTCATACACGGCCTTGCCCAGCATCTTGCCCACAAACTCGAAGAGCTGCAGGTAATTCTCATGAATGTAAGATGTGGGCGAGGGGTAGAGCCTCTCGTCCCCATTGGTTGTCTGCGAGGCAAAGGGAAGGACAGAGGCAGAGAGGTTAAAGGCCTTGGAACGAGCAAACCCAGTCCTTCGCTTTCATTCGTCCCCTCAAATCTGGCTGCTGTCAACCTGCTCTCGCTCCCCTTAAATACCTTGAACAGGTTGAGTGCCGGGTCAAACACCCTCTTGATGATCTCTTCCAAGAACTCCTTAAAAACGCCGTCTTGGTCGATCCCCGCCTCGTCCACCCCGAGGTCGTTGACGAACTTCACGCGGATCACACCCTTCATGGCGTGCTGGGAGAGCTGCCGGAGCTGTTCATAGCCGTCCTGCCGGGCAGAACGACAGCCGTTAGCACCTGAGGCCCGCCGTCCGGCTCAGGGCGCCCTCTGCACGTGCACCACACGTGTGAGCCAGGATGCACGGGTGCAGAAGAGCAGTCCTCACCTGCTCTGAAGTGACAGGGTGGTAAAAAGAAAGTCCGCTCGTGGGGACTCGACTTTCCCACTCTTTGGCGAGGGGAGGCTGCCCGCGAGAGGACGCAGGACGGTGAGATAGGAAATTGGACGAGTCATGATAAGCTCTTGTCATCAGACGGGATGAAACCGGGACAAGACCCCACCCTCTCTATTTTAATGCTGAGAGTTATCTTTCAGCTCACGGTAAAGATCAATCAATCAATCACACTTACAGGCTGCTAGAAGATGAAAACTAAAAATACCCTCCACCCTCAACTCCTGGTACCTTTCCCCAGATCAGGAAAGGCCTTGTGACTCACACTGAGGAATTTCAATCATATCCCAAGGGCAATGGGGAGTTAAAGCAGCATTTATGCAAGGAGCAGCAGGGCTGGCCTCTCTTAGAAGGCTCTCTCTGGTGGCAGCAGAGCAGATGGATGGGGGGACAGGCAGAAAGGAGGGAGACAGGGTACAGGAGTGACGCTGGGCCTGGACGAGGGCAGGAACAGGGGAGAAGCCTCAGTGCACCTCCGGCTCACGTCCAGCTGTGTCAGCACGTGCAGCCATTCAGCAACCCCCCGCAGAACCCTTGACACAACTCCAGAGTTCTGCTAAACCATCTCCTTGAGTTTGTCTCTGGACTACAGTCTGCTGAGGTCTTCCTGGCTCCTGAGTCTGTCTCTGACGTACGGACTTCCTGCATGTGCAGGCCGATATGTAGCTGCTTAGGTCTTCACATCAGTGATCAGAAAACACAGCATCCAAACGGGACAGGAGCCAGGGAGGAGTCCTTCTGCCCAACACGAAGCCCGTTCACCAGGGTGAAACCTACGTCTTCCGACACTGTCGTGTAAGCAGCAAATCAACCACAACATCCTCCTGAGGCCACTCTGAGGCGTTTCCCCCTCAGCCCCAACCGCGGTGCTCTCAGGTGTTTTGTTGACACAAGAGCCACCATCTCCAAGCCTCCACCCATCGGCCACTCTGGCCCCTTGTCACAAAGCAAATGAGGCCAGCCTGGCAAGACCTGTTTTGGGGAACCCTTGATGGCTTCCTGCTGATCACACTTCTCTTGTGCTCGCCTGGAGACCCACAGGACTGTCCTACTGTGGCTCCCGGTCTTATTCAGGGCTAGGCTCCAAGGCTAGTGAGTGTGCAAAGAAGCACCTCTGAACTCCCCTAAGTCACCTGAAGGCACAGGAACACGATTTTGACTGCAGTCCTGAAAACTACCTCTGTGCACATGAAGTCTGACTACCATCAAGTTAGATGGAAAGAAGGGAAAAACAGGAAGTCACCATGCAGCTGCTGCAGCATTTGCACTGTTCTGCCTAAATTTAAAATAACCATTCTGGCACGGAACTGGGGACCAGTGGAGAATACAAACATGCCCTGCTTGCCTGCAGGATCTTCTCCACCTGCTTTACAATGACGCCATCCTGACCTTTACACACACCGGCAGGGTGCTCGGGCTACGCAGATTCAACGACAAGGTGCTCGTGAAAGCACTCAGCACGCGGACGAGCATGTGGTGGGGCCCAAGGAACGTTTGCTGGACTCAAATTTCCATCAGACCCATAGCAGCCTCCTCCTTGGAAAGTCGTGAAGAGGAATTGGCCACCTGCCTCCTCTGACACACTTCCCGTTGCGCCGCACTGAGTGGTTGGAACAGTGGTTGTGGCACGAGGATTAGAACTTGCCCCGTGGGAAGGTAAGCGGGAGTGAGGATCCTCTTCCCTGCTGCCTCTCAAGGAGCGGACGCAGAGCCCTGACCTGGGGGCGGGAGAGCTGGTTTGGTCCTTCCAGGCCCGACGTCCGAGCGACCCTGATGGACAATCTGAGCTTCTCTGGCCTGCGTTCTGCCACTGACGGGGGAGGGGAAGGGGCTGGGCAAGAGTGTGTCTCTGGCTCCCCCCAGTTCTGACACGCTGACGTTCCAGGCCCAGTCCACCCTCTGGGAGGGGATGCCTTCCCGCAGGACTAACGCCTGGACCCCTTACACAGAAGCACCGCCTTCAACACAAACCGGAGAGAAGGAAGCAGGAAAAAAGCCTCGGATGTCATGACTCTAACATCAGCTTTTGGATGCCCCCTTGTGTCCAAATCAAGCAAAGGCCACTGGGCTCCTGTTCTAATAAACCACTAGGTCGTACCACCAATAACTGAATAAACGACCCTCTTCCTCTCCTAATTCAACAGGAACACCACCGGTCAGCTTCATGACAAGGTACTTCTAATGGGATGGAAAGAGGAAAAGACTTTGCTGAAAGCCTGAGACAGACACCACTCCTCTGGTGTCCCTGCGTGATGTGTTTCAGAAAGTGGGCTCGGTAACCAGGACGTCAAGCGACTTTCCTACAAGCAATGACACATGAGAAGGGGGTTGGGAACTCTGTCACTCTCAGGTGACGTCCGAGTCTCTACCAACCCAGACTTCCTGAGGGTGCTGGTCACACTGGGGGGGGGGGGTGTATGATGGGTGGTAGGACCGAGAAGTTTTAAGAGACAGGCAGGTGGCATCTGAAGAAAATGCTGGGGAAGAGTTTCTGTAACGCAATTGGGCTTTTTCCTCTTTGGTCAAAGCTGAGGTTGTGAACTGGTGGCCCACAGGCTGAATTCGGTTGGAAGACAAGTGTTATCTGACTTTCTGGTACTTTATAAAATTCTTTGGTTCCCAACGTAGAAAATCTGGGGATTTTACACAAATCCCCGAATTTTGGTCCTGTCTGAAACAATGAGAGCATCACGGAGCCCCAATCTCTGGTCCTCAGCTGGAGCTGAGGGTTTCGGGGGGCACATGTTGTCACCTGCCCGCTTCCTGCCGCTCCCCAGCACTGGGGCTGGACGCCTGTTGTCACCCATCAGCTCGTTTGTGAGGATGCTTCTCTCAGGCAGCCTCTGGCCTAGACCGAGGGCTGTGTTTCAAGGAAACCAGGGAGAGCAGTGGAAGGGAAGACTATTCTATTTGTTTAGCACGCACACAGAATGCTCTGGCGCTGAGCCAGCTTTATGCATCCCTGTGGCCCGCAGGGTGCCTGTGGGCGCCTGCGTTTCTGGTCGCTGCTTTTAACAATGTCAAGCGTCTCATCTGTTTATCCCGTCTCTTCTGCCTCCCTTTCCCCAGCAGACCTCGGTGTCCGTCTCCAGTGGCCAGGGGAACTCAGGCAAGCTCTGCGGGAAAGACCCTGCAAGGGGGAAAATGAAAGCACGCGGGGTGGGAAGGCTGCAGCCGTGGCCATCTGCTGGACATCTGGCCACCAGCTGTCCTGGGATCCCACGACAGCCCGACACTGCCCAGCCTTCGTATGAGGAACCGAGGCTGGAGTGTGACGAAAGGTCTAAGGAGCAGGTGTGGGCGAATGAATCAGGCCAAGCGTCCCTGGGCACGGGTCCTTGGGGCTCGGTCACGAATCCCCCCGCCGGCAGGACCGGCATGCGCAGGCAGAGCCCTGGGCTCCGGAGGGTGTGGCACGCACAAGGCAGACCGGTGCACACACTTACTGTGACAACGCTCCAGCCAGGGTTTTGTTCCAACGAGATCATTATAACAATTTTCTGACGCACAGAAGTAAAGTGTTTTGAGGACAGGCGCCTATTCCTAATTCACACGAAGCTGCCACAGAGCGGTAACACAGGACACTGGCTTTGGCTACGGTGGGCCCTCCCTTGCATCTCATGACTTTATGTCTACAGGGAACTTCTAGCTCTGTGATATGCACTTCCCAGTATGGCTCAGTCAACCTAACTCCCACACTCCGGCCTCCACAGCCACAGCTGGGGTCTGGGCAGTGCCGGCCGGGACAAACGGAGTTTGCAGAGACGTGAGAACGTCTGCACAATGCACTTCCTGTTCTCCTTCCAGAGAGGGGTGTTTGACACGCTAACCTGGGGCCCTCCCGTGAAAAGGGGAAGAAATATTGCACTGTGGCCCCAGCACCGAGGACGTGCTTAATCAAGCAGCTCTCGGCGCACAAACAGGACCAACGGCCACCACCCTGCCCCCAGAGCCTTGATTTCAGTGTCGCTGGATCAGGGGGTGACAAGAACAGTCCAGAGGCAACAGACTGACCACTGACGCTCCTCCATGTCCCAGAGCACAGTGCTATGGGGGCTTCTCACCTCCAACATCCGGGACCGCCGGATAGTGATGTGCGTGACGTGCGGGGAGGCGGAGCTGGTTTCCACGAGCCCCAGCTTCTCCTTCTCCTTGGTGACCATGTTTCGGAACAGGAGCACCCTCTGCAGCGAACAAAGGGAAGACCGGAAACAGGGTCACGCCGAGGCCTCCCCGGAGCACACTGCACACACCTAACGGAGCACGAGTCCCGTGAGGTGCACCGGAACAGGGCGCTTCCCTGTGGGCTGCAGGCAGAAGGGCCCTGGGGAACAGAAAGGGGTCCCCAAACACGACTGGGAATGGGAGCGACAGCGGAACTCGTGGTGAGGAAGAAAGGCTCCAGGAAGAGAGACCCGGCTGCAGCTCGGGTCCAGTTAGGAAGAGTCGAGCGGAAACCATCCTCCTGTCCAGTGAGTAGTCCGCCATGACAATCTGGCAGCGAGACAAGCGACAGAGGTGGCTTTACACAGCCATGCCTGCTTTAAAGGAAATCAATGTTATAAACGTAAAAAACAGAAACACTTCAAAGGTAATTTTTTTCACTGTCAGAATCCTTTAAAAACGATCCTACAGAATAAAGGTTCCCGACCTTTTATCTGCCTCCTCTGTGCCCGCAAGCACGCCCTGGTCCCACTGGTGATATTTCTCAATGTCACTTGAAAAGCACCTGTCCCTCCCTTCTCCAGGTCCCACGTCCCTTTGGCCAGCACTAACCCTCTGCCCCGACCTGGTTCTGAGAGTCGCTGCTGTGAGAGCGTTCGAACAATGACGGGGAGGGCCTTGTGTTCCCAGTGGGGGAAGAGGGAGAGCTTATGAGACATGGACGAAAAGACTCAGTGGCGGTCTTAAGCAGAATTCCCAAAAGGGAAAAAACCCGGTGAGGACTGGGATACAGCCCGGGCTCACTGGCCACACACGTGACTCTGAGAGGCGCCCCAGCAGCTCAGCATTCCTTCCCACGCTGCCAGGCCACGAGCAGTCCTTACGGCCCCATGCAGTTAACCACTTAACTGTTCAGGTGCATTTATGTGCTAAGGAATGAATAGCTGTATTGTAAAAATACACATATACTGAAACAGAAGATCTTTTAATTTCACTTTTAAAAGCCAGCTTAGCAAGCATGACATCATTGAAAAGTGCTGAAACTGTGATCTTGACCTAGTACCTCACATAGAGTGCAACAGACTTCACTATGTTCCCCCCAAAACTCACAATGTCCTGTGACAACCAGGCACCCCAGCACATGGTCTGAGAGCCACAGACAGCGCAGAGACCGGGGCTGTACGGTACAGGGACACCACAGCCCAGGGCTGACTTCCCGGACACACGGGCCCTGGCTACAGCGCTGCGTGTAAAGTCAGACTACGAACCGCGCTAGGCCCAGGAGACGAAGGCTGAAAACCACTTCAACGCAGAGGAGTAGTCGGGGCAGGCTGCTAACCCCTGACAACAGGAGGCTCAGAAGGCGAATCTCAGGGGAGGCGATTCCACCCTGAGCGGCCACAGGGGAGAAGCTACAGAGAAGCCGGCCAGCTGAAGGCGCGGAGGGGCGCCCCACCCCTGGGCAGGGCCGGCAGCAGGAGGGCCGCCTCCCACAGCTGCGCGCTCCCTCTCGGGGCGAGGGCAGGGAGACTGCTGACAGGCTCTCTCGCAGAGCACACGCGTGGTGTCATCTCCACGCGGTCCCTCACCTCTTAGAGGCTCTGCTGGCAAGCGCGATGAGAATTTAAACAGGAATGTCCACTTGTGAACCACTGCTGGAGGGCAAAGAATGACTAACATTCAGTGCTACCATCAAGGTCAAAACCATGTCAGAGAGCCGTGAGGAGGAAGTGTCTCTGAAAAGCGAGATTTAATTTGTAAAAACGTGACTTGTCCAATGGCCTCGAGGAGTCACGAACACCTCCCGTGCAACCTGCCCAAGGCTGACCTTGCCAGCACTTCCCAGACCTGCTCTTGCCACGTTCCTACCTTGGGGAAGGCTCCCCCAGGTCCCCAGACCAGACACGGGAGCATCATCTGAGTTACTCCTTCCCTTCCCCTCCGAATGTCGCCGTTGTCCACGGCCCGCGGCGCTGCCTCCTGACTTTATCGTCTTCCTGTTGCTGTGGCCCCACCGAGTCCAGGCCAGACGGCCTCTAGCCAGGGCCTCCCACTACGCCCACAAGGACTTTCGGAAGCATAGCTCTCACCAGGTGCCTCCAAAGCTGAAAACTCCCCAGTGGCTTTGGAGAGAATCCAAGTTCCTGCCCTGGGCGGACAAGGCCCTTCTTACTCCAATTTCCACCGACCTCCTTAGCTTCTTCACTTCCTCCTTATATCCCCTCCCACGAGCACTGCATGCACTCACTCTCACCCGAGGCCTGTGAACACTGCCCACCGCTGCCCGTGCCCCCGAACCCCTGCTGGGCTCCCACACATCCACCCCTGCGACACACACCCCACTCTGCCGGAGCTGCCAGTTCACATCGCCTTCGACCTCTGTGCCCCATAGTTTTGTACGCGACTCAGAGTAAGACCCAGTCACGACCTGTGCTGGCTCAGTGGCTGATCTCAGCTGTTTACTTCCAGTCTCTGTGGCAGAGATGGGAACCCAGGAACCGCATGAGGGAACAGAAAGACACACAAGGAGCCCAGCTCTGAGAGTGACTCACGTTTTTGTGTGGAATGACGTGAGGGATGTACTGCAGGACCAGCTGTGCCCGTTTTCGGTCCTTGTCCAGTTCTTGGAAGAGCACACTAGGTTTGAGATCCCTTAAAAAGACACGGGTTTGGAATAAATAAAACAAAAAACCCCATTCTTGGCAAACTACGCCCTGTGGGCCAAGCCTGCGGCCCATCTTTGTAAATGAGGGTTCAAGGGAACACAGCCACACCGATCCATTACTGTCTGTGGCTGTTTCCACGCTGCAACGGCAGCGCTGAACCATGTGGGGGAACAGAAAGAGACAGTCTAGTCTGCAAAGCCTAAGACATTTACCGCCTGCCCTTTGCAGAAAAACCTTGCCAGCCCTGCTCCAGTGCCCTGACCTCAAGAGTTCCACAAGGGTTGACACGTCACTGATGAAAAAGCATGGACCTGATCTCGTGTTTAGCTGCTGCATGAGGGTTCCCCGACCCTGTCCCTGCAAAGACCTGGCTGTACTTTTTACCCCGCTGACTCTCGTTGTGAAAAGCTGCCACCTAACTAACATAACCTGTTGCTCAGTTCAGCTGAAAACTTTTCTTCTTCCAGGTGTGGATAAGAAACATTTGTTACTGGGTTGGCCAAAAAAGTTCTTTTAGATTTTCCCTACAATGGCTCTAATAGTACTTAGTTGTCTTTAACTTCACTTGAAACAATTTTGTTAGACTGTATTGTGTCAGCTGTCATATCAGCGTGCATTTACAAAAAAAAAATCAAAATTTTAGTGCAGCCCTTTTAATATTGAAGATGGAAAAAATACGTAACATTTTAGCACATTATGCTTTATTATTTTAAGAAAGGTAAAAACACAACTGAAACACACAGAAAGATTAATGCAGTATGTGGAGAAGGCTGTGTGTCAAAAGTGATTTGCAAAGTTTCTTGGTACTACTGACACTTCGGCCAAATAACTCTTTGCTGTGGGCTGTCTTATGCATTGGAAAATGTTTAGCAGCAGCCCTGGCCTCCGCCCACTGGAAGCCAACAGTCAGAGATAGCCGACATACTTGAAGTATCCAAATCAATCAAGTTACTGGTAAAAATGAAGGGGGGTCTTTTAAGGAAAAAAACCCACATGGACTTTTTGGCCAACCCAATCAATGTGGCCTCGCTGTGTTGCTCTAACGAGCTCTACTCTCTTTGGTGTACACATATTTTAACAGAAGCAACAACGGCTAGGCGATTGATCCATCCTGACAGGTGCTTCACCGCAACACCAGCTCTCCTCGCGCAGATACAGGATAAAGGAGAGCGACCAGTTCCCCTGCGCCCTGGGATGCGAGCACAGAGCACGCGGGCAGCCTGACGGAGAAGACTCTGGGCCCGTGAACCCGCCTCCCCACCCCAGCGCTCACTTGCGCAGCCAGTGGTCCTCGGAGGCGAAGCGCCGCCGACAGTCCCGCTCGTACAGCACCATCAGCCACCCGTGGACGGACTGGAACAGCTCCAAGGTCTCGCCCTTGGCGTTCTCTGGGGGCACACAAGCGAGACAGTCACACTCACGGAGCTGACCACAACTGGAGAGGAGCGGGCAGGACAGCTCCTGCCACCCAGTCCCACGAAGGTCCTCCTCTCCTCGCTCTGCCTCCCGCGTGGAGCCGACGGGACTGAAGGGCACCCTGCGCGTGCTCCGAGCGTCTGCAGGGCCCGCGCTCGTCCCACACGCAGTGGCTCCTGCTGCCTCCCGCTGGCGGGTCAACCCAGGACCCCGCTAACCTGAGCAGCTCTGTGCCGGGCCACTGGGGACACGCGGGGGGTGGGGGGGGTGGGGGGGGGTCTCGCCTGAGGTGTGGCCTGGCCCACTTTCTGTCTTCTCAGGGATAAAATCGACTCGAATCAAAAGGAGACTTGGGGCAAAGTCAGTCATCATTAATAACTCTTGACACGCACAAGCAAATCTTGAGACACACGTGGGAGAACAAGGCTTCTTTAACCACAGCCCTGTCTCAAGAAGTCACAGATGGAACAGGAAGAAATAAAACTTGTAACTAGACGAAGAAACGTGCACTTTCAGTCAACGCCGACAGACAACGAGGTGGCGAGTCAGCTGTGGCCACCTTTGCCTTACCTACGATGCCATCCCAGATCATCTTGAACACGAAGGAGTTCAGGAAGGAGGAGATGGTGACCAGCTCTTCCAGTTTGAATGAGATCTGTTCTTCATAAACTTCAATGTCATCAAGGATCCTGCATCAAACAGGAAGTTATTCACACTGCCCACTGAGAAGAGGGACAGAACGAGGCCTACGCTCCTGGAAAGACAGAGCAAGGTTAAGAAACGGGCTCTGTCCTTCAGAGACACTTACTGTGGAATTTACAGGTAAGGCAGCAAGAGTCCAGGCTGGGCTCCCGAAGGACGGGGGCGGGGGGCAGGGGGCGTGGGCAGAGGGAGCAGGACTCGCCGTGGGTTGCTGCTGTGGCCGGTGACGGACACACAGGGCTCACTGCACTATATTCTCTCTGCTTTCAGTTGACGTGAACTGTCCCGAGTGAAGAGTTCCAAGCACAGCTATGGCAAACAGTAAGCTCCACTCTATCTGTTTTCTTACTCAGAAGGGTCTGACTGTGACACTTCCTCAACTCGTGCCTGAAGTCCTGCCCGAATATCAAGGAGTCTGAGAGTCGGTGCCTCCGAGGAAAGCTGGGACTCTCTCTGCGTCTACAGCAGGTGCCGGAGGCACTGAGTAGGTACCTGAGGGGCACTCACGAGTGAATGAGTAAAACAACGTCTGGAAGAATGGATGAATAAATGAACTCTTTAAGATACATCTCCATCTGAAAAGACCCAACGCGGCTCCATCCACCTTAGGGTCTGCCTCACTCTTGGGTCACCCCCAACCCAGCGACTCAGGGCACCTGTGCCAGCAGCGGCGGAGCACCGCCCTGCCCCTGCCACTCCTGCCTCCGCGCTCGCCGGGCCCTGTGCCCTCCGCGGTTCCTGCCCAACCTGCCAGCTACGAGGCCCTGATGCCCTCCGGCCAGCGTCTTCTGGCCTGAACATAACTGCCTGAGGTCGGTTCTATCTTACGACTCTTCCCCAACCTCTTGGGGAGAAGGGGAATTAAGAGAACACCAAGCACGGAAGTAGACATGTAAGCCTAAGGAACAAAGGAACTGAATGGGACCAACACTTGTTAATCCCTCACCGTCAGCCGCTGTACAAGGACCTGACAGTCCTTTCCTCATTTGCTCCCCGCCACACTGGAGATGCTGTCTCCACTCCACTGATGCGGGAGCCGAGGCCCAGAGAGGCGTGGCCTCCTGCCCCCTGCCCAGGGTATCTCGGTCTTGCACCTGGGCTCCCTGGCTCAGAAATTTTCTAGCAAACCATCTGGCACAGGCAGTAAATGGCGGAAGTAACCTGGACCCAGATCCAGGAAACCCCAAAGCCCACCTTCGGTGGTACAGACCCGGCTCCCCTGAAAGGATGGCAACAGCAGCTGAGCCCCTATTACGCGCCCCCCACTTGGTCAATGTTTCCTCATCTACTTCTTCTAAAACGTTCCTTACAAAAGCAAGTGGTGGGCGCTGCTGCCCGAACGCTGGCAGTTACTGCAACGGCAGCTGCTCCCTCCCTGACACCGCGCTGTGGCTCCCCCACAGTCCAGGAAAGGAATCCAGGACCACGCGGTCCACCTACGTGATGAGGTGCCGGGAGCAGTCACAGAACAGCATCAGCATGGCCAAGAGCTGCTTCGACTCTTCGGTGTCGTTGCTGAGGCATTCCAGGAAGAGCTTTAACCCTCCGTGGGGCCCCAGCTCGCAGATGAACGCCCACAGCTTGGGCAGCAGGTCATCAAGGTAGGTGAGACCTGGAAGAGGCCGGAGAAACCCAAGCTGCAGGCGGGGGCTCCGTCTGGTCCATCATCTCCCTGTCGGTCAGGGAGACAAAAGACACCTGGCAGCGAACCTTACTGTGCACGACAGAAAGCAGGTGCAATCTCTAAGGAAATCACTGTCACCGTGAGAATAACAACAGCTAATGTTTGATGGGTGCTTCCTATATGTCAGATACCATTCCAAGTACCAGGCTGGCTGACAAGTTCGCTTGGTCCGCTCCTCAGGATGGCTCTAGCAGCGCTCAGCTGTCTTTACCGTCGTTCGAAACAATTTGTTGGACTGTGCTGTGACAGCTGTCACATCAGCGTGCATTAAAAAAAAACTGATCAAAATTGGTGAATTTTTGTGTAGCCATTTCAATATTGAAGATGGAAGAGTATAAGCGACATGTTTAGCATATCATGCTTTATAATTTCCAGGAAGAAAAAAAATGCAGCTGAAACGCACAAAAAGATTTGTGCAGTGCATGGAGAAGGTGCCGTGACTGAAGGCGCATGTCAGAAGTGGTTTGCGAAGTTTCGTGCTGGAGGTCTCTCGCTGGATGATGCTCCACGGTCGGGTGGACAAGTTGAAGGTGACGGCGATCAAATCGAGACATTAATTGAGAACAATCAGCGTTCTACCACATGGGAGAGAGCCAACATACTCAAAATATCCACGTCAATCAAGGTATTGGTGTAAATGAAACAGGTCTTTTATTTTACGGAAAAAACTACACGAATATCTGGCCAAGCCGATAGCTGACATGCATGTGCATCTCCTTCCCAATGTGAAACCCGACGTCACCTCCACTTTTAGAGGGAGGACACTGAAGACCAGAGAGGTTAACCGGCTCAAAATCACACAGCCAATAAGTGTCAGAGTCAGTAAAACAACCCAGGTCTGGCTGACTCAGTGTTTCAGAGATCAGCACCTTTCTGGGCCAGAAAAAAAGGGCCACAGAGTCAGTATTTTCAGGCTTTGTGGGTCAATCTCTGCCACAACCACTCAGCGCAACCACTGTAGCACAGAAGCAGCTATAGACAATGTGAGTGTGGCTCTGTTCAAACAAAACTGTATTTACGAGAGCAGGTGGTGGGCTGGCCCTGGCCCTCGGGCAGCAGCGTACCAAGCCTGGTTTAAACTGCCTCGCAGGCTCCCCCACATTCAGCGCAGCTTTCCTCTCGTCTGCTTCCACTGCCCTGTGGTAAACGTGGGAGGGCGGCGACTGCTCACCGCAGAGACGCCCTCGGGAGTTACACAGGGGTCCCACCTTGGGTGAGGGCGGGGCGGGTCGGCTTCCCGGTGGCTACAAGGCCTCAGACACAGAGGCCACGTCACTGTCACGTTTATGTCTATCGACTACGCTGCTGACTTGGAGAGCCTGGCTCCAAAGTGCCACGTGTCGCTGAACATGAGATAATGGCATGTTCCTCACCTTACTCCTCAGAGAAGGAGGAGCCCCCTTACACCTGAGTCCTTACCATGCCTCTCCTTTTACAGCATTACTCCATCTCAAACAGAACTATCAGGGCAGCCAGAAGCCCGGGATGGGGCGGGGCGACCACCAATGCTACTGATGGGAGTTTAGAGGGCGAACTGAAGGACGACTGTAAAGAGGGCATCATCCCTGCAGTCTGACCCCAGCTTTCCAGGGGCAAGGGGTGTGGTTATAAAAGGTAGCAATCTCACAATTTAAAACCAGACTAAAAAAGAAACAGAAAATAAAGAGAGAGGAAAACAAAGAAACAGAACAGGTAGTTACATTGTGGCGACCATAAACACGCACCCACAGGACACGCAAGGGAAGGCGACCGCCCCCACAGAGTGTGCTTGGGCCGGGCCGTCCGCTGGGATGAGGACACTCGCTGACAGCACCGGGCCCGGTTCAACAGGGGCCGCATCCTGAGCCACCGAGACAGAAACAGACGCTGTGCTCTGGACAGCCACGCAGAGGGGCAGCACGGGGCTGCAGGACCATCACGCACTTGTGAGGAGCACACACAAAGGTGCTTTGCAAATTGTGAGTAGAGGAACAGCAGTATTTTTTAAATTAGCGTATTTTCCATAATCTAATGTGCACAGCACTAATAGACTGGGTATGATACAGACACTTTTAAACTAGTTTATCTTCATTCCTGTAAGTATACACTGTCAAGTTGGCCATAAAACTTTTTGGATTCTTTAATTGGGACAACGGGGGATGCTTCAAGCTGTGGTCACCTTATAAAGCTGCAGACAGGCAGCAAAACCATCTCCCACAGAGCAGCTCTGCTCACAGAGGGGACTCTTCTCCTTGCTCAGCTATGAAGGAAAATGTTGGGCACATCCACATGAGGACGTTACACAGTCTCCATAAATGAGGTTTTGGGAGAATTTCTCACACGATCAAATGCTTATAAGGTGACTAATGGAAAGGGAAGGACAAAACTGCATTTCTTTTTTCCTCTCTCTCTTTTCTTTAAGTGGACACCTTGTCTTTTTTTTTTAAGATTTTATTTATTTATTTTCAGAGAGGGAGAAAGAGAGAGAGAGAAACACCAATGTGCGGTTGCTGGGGGTCATGGCCTGCAACCCAGGCATGTGCCCTGACTGGGAATCGAACCTGCGACACTTTGGTTCGCAGCCCACGCTCAATCCACTGAGCTACGCCAGCCAGGGCTTAAAACTGCATTTCAATCTAAATATATATACAAGTAGCACACTCAGGCACAGGGAGTTACGTCTGGATTGTGGGATTAAGAGTAGCTTAAGTTTTCTTTTTCCTGCTTCCTTGTCTTTCCTAGTTTTCCATTCAGAAAAAGTAGTAACTTTTAAAAAACAAATTGTACTTCATAATTAAAATAAGGGACCAGGTCACAGGGACAAACTGGAAGCGCTAGGATGGAGGTCAGTTTCAGCTGTTTAACTAATCGGTCTCTAAAATGGCTCAAAACCACCCTCCCTCTCTTCCAAGAAGCCAGAGGAAAATCATCTCGTTCCGAGCAAAACTGCCAGCCAAACGTGAGCGACCGCGGGCGCCCCGGGCTCCGAACCTGTGAGAATCTGCAGCCGGATCTGGGTCAGCGTGGTCAGCGAGGTCTGGTAGAGGACGCAGATGTTGCAGACCTTCTGCACCTCCGCGGAGTCCACGCGCCTGCCCCCCACGGGCTTGAGGATGTTGCGCACCGAGGCGGACTTCTGGAACGCGCGCTTCAGGAGATCTGGCGGGCACGGAGGGGGCGTGTGAGCAGCAGCGCGGCCGCCTGCCGAGTCCCACCCTGGCGGGAACTGCGAGCGCATGTCAACCCAGTTCCTAATTTACAGCCATGGCCCGACAGTGCGGCCGCTGCTCGATTCGACTCATCTCTTCGGAACAAAGCAGAAACGCGTTAACAACAGGATTTCAGGTAAAACCCGAGACATCTTCAGAATCAGAAAATTTCTCAGAAGCCAGACAATATCATTCTTACACGGGATCCTTTTGCGTACCAGGTAACTTCAGAACCCACAGAGGTAAAAATTCCAAGGACTATACTGGGGGGAGGGGGAAAAGATGGGGGACCTGGTTGATCCCCAACTTTCTGTGCTTTTAGGTGGAAGAAGGGGTATAAGCCCCGAGTACTGACATTCAGCTGGGTCGTGCTCTACTTTTGCTTTAAGCCTTCCCATCTGTGTCCTGCTAAGGGGACAGTCACTGAGCCCATGCGCACTGACAGCCACGGGACGGGACTCTGCAGCACTCGGGGGCAGAGGAAGAGCGCCCCTGACCCTGCACATCTGCTGCGGGCAGGTAATTCCACTGATTATGTGCTGGTGGCACTTCCTTAACTTTTCTCGGTGCGTGCAGTGAGACACCTCTCCGCACAACCCGTCACTGACCCTGCAATGGGACACCGCTGCGCTGGTGACCGAGAGTCCCCTTTACCAGGAGCCCTACCTAGGAGATTTCTTTTACAATTAGCCACACAGAAAAGCTCCACCTCTCCTAAGAAACAGGTCTTCCTCTTTGTGGGAAGAAAGGGTCCCAAGCCCCTTTCCATCTTGCCTGCTGGAAATTCAGGACCAGCTGGAAGCTCAGAGAAGACCGCGGCCGCCCCATGGAACGTGTATCAGTGGACGTTCTCTAGGCACGACCTTGATTTTGCTCACCTATATCTATTTCCCAGGTCCCGTATTCTATTGCTAAGGATTTTCCCCCGTTTTGCTAAATGTAAAATTGACTCCAGCAGTCTCAAAGTCTCTGTGGGAGAGGCAGACCGTCACACAGCAGAGGGGGACGGACAGGCACCCTGGGACACCCAGAAGTGTTCCTTCTCGGCCAGGCAGAGGCTCGGCCGGCCTGCTCAGCCACTCACTCTTCACGGGGAGCACGTTCTGTGGGGAAGCCGCCGGCACGTGGGCTGCGGGCTCCGGGTTCTCCAGCAGCTTCTTGCTCAGGATGTCACTGAAGAAGATGCGGATCAGGGGCACCCCCCACAGGAACTGCAGCTGTTTGGTGATCAAGGGCATCGACTCGTTAAGGCTGGGAGAGAAAAGGAGACCAGGTGTGTCAGTTCCGCCTGGCGAAGGGCCAGGGAGGGCCTTCCACTTGCAGGTGCAGCTAGGACCTGCCGTTCCACAGGGTCAAGGAGATAACACTAATTGAAGAAGGGGGCTCCAACCGCTGAGGCCTGGATGCGGAAGGCACTGGCCTCTCTATCTTCCCTGTTGCTCCACCCAGACTTCCTGGGCCGCCAGCAGCCCCACGGCCCTCCCCAGGCCCCCAGGCTGCACGGGTCACTGCCATCTCCTGGACACCCTTCACCACTCCTCACCCCGGTTCCGTCCTGTTTACCACTAAGATGACAAGAGCCATCTCACGCCTGCTGTGCTGCCCTCCCCTTCACAGCCAGCCCTCAGGCCCGGCCCACAACCCTCGCCGGCTCTCCGGCCTCCCAGGAGTCTTGCTGCCGGCAGGTGCTGTTTCTCCACTCCGCAGCGCAGCCCCAGTATCGGACTCACACCCCGGAACCCGCCTTCACCGCCTCCCTGCTCGAGACCCTGTGGTGGCTCCCACCGCCTTCCAGCACCACACTGCAACAGCCTCTACCCACTGGGCACGGGCTGGGCCTGGAGTGGGCGCTGACGCGCCCCGTCTCAGTCAGTCCTTGGAGACGCCCCTCCCGCCGTGTTCCAGATGAAGAAAGGGAGATGAAGAGACTTGTCCAAGGCCCCCCGAGACCGGGCTGTTCACCACTGTGCTTTCCGCCCCACACTCCGCCCACGACAGCCCGATGCCCAGCACACGCTCCTCCACCCTCCTCAGTGTGGGGCAGCGCACTGGTCGCCAGCTGGCAATCCGATTTTTTTCTATGGGGTGTCACTCAGGTACACGGAAAAGGGGGGAAACCTGGGGATTCCCTTCCCTGGCCCTCAGTTTTCCGCCTCAAGCGCACCCGCCAGGGCCCCGGGAACGGGGCTGAGCAGCACGGCCGCCTCAGACCTGAGACCCGCTGCAGCCCAGCCCAGGGCACGCCTTTGAAACGTGTGACAGCACCTTACTTAGTCTCTCTCTTCCAGCCCAGCGGTACTTTTTAAAAACCATTTTTAAGTTCTCGATTAAAACTTTTAAAATTTACATTCCACCTCTTGAAAAGGATCTGGAGGGACTTCAATTCCCTTTGAATCATGCGCCTGATTTTAGTACTTCCAAAACACAGCAGCCAAGCAACCAAAACAGTGGTGCTGGAGAAGAAAGGAGCATTTACAGACACTGCGTGAACAGGGCAGAAGACGAACTGGCGTGACCTCACTTCTGGGAACGGCTGTGAGGGGCGAGGCCGAGAGGGCGTGCGCACACGCCAACTCCAGGCGGCGGCACCAGAGATGGTTTCCGTTCCCTCTTGTTCTTACCTGCACTTCACACCGTGAACACACACTGCTTCTGTGCTAAGAAACGGGACGACATGAGCCCAAGCAAAGGGAGAGGGGGAGCTGATGGGAGGGAGGCAGGAGGCGCAGGAGGGACGGCGATCCGCCTGCGCGACTCACCCGTAGTCCACGGATTGGGAGAACCAGCCGAGGACGGGGTGCCAGTGGGTCAGGTTGGACTTCTTCTGCGACACGTACTTCTGGCAGTAGCACAGCATCTGGGTGAGCAAGCCCACAAACCCGTCCGTCTCCTCCTCCAACACGCGCGGGCTGAGGGAGCCCAGCTGCAGGAGGTTGCCTGCAGAGAGAGGAGGAGGAGGCTGAGTGCACTGGGCCCAGGCAGATGCGCGTCGCCGGCCCCCTGCCCCGCTCTCAGGCAGCCACGTCGGCGCGCAGTGAGCAACTCCACACCAAGGGCACCTGTCGGTGCTGGCGCTGCGGAGCGATGCAGGGCTCGGAAGTGGGCCGACCCGGCTTCCGGTCCTGGCTCTGCCCCAGACCGGCCGTGCGACCCTCAACCCGCCTCTCGAACCCTGTCTCCTCATCGGGAAGACTGGAGCACCGGCCCCCACTCCTGGTGTGAAGACCGTATGACCCACAGGACATCTGGCACACAGAGGTTTGTGGCAGTCAGCTGGGGAGGGATTTTAATATTATGCTAAGATGTTAAAACCAGAGGTTAACATAAGAAATAATCCTCTGAAGAATATCTGAAATCCCTGGAAATCAGGTATTCCAAGTGCACCGAAGTTATTTAACATGCCCTGTGTGAGGACTCCCTTAAAACCTGGCCCCAAGAACCCTTTTCCATGTGAAACAAACCAGGCCACAAGAATCACGCACGTCTGCTGTTTGAATGCTTCTACCCACAAACCCTTCCATCTACAGTGAAAACACGGTGAAGCAGGCGATGCAGGTCCTACTCGGAGCACCCCCCCCAGCTGCGCCCCCACCTTCTCCCAAGACGGGAATTTTCCAGGCAGCTCATCACGTTTTCAATTTCCCTTGGGCTGGCAGGAAGTAAGGGCTGAAACTGAACATTCACTTACAGCCACTCAACCAGTTTGCCGAGCTGACAGATTTCCTACGTGATTTCGTTTCCCGTGTCCACTTCAATGGCCTCCCTGATTACGTGCTCTCACTGTGATCACTGCTAACCGTTTCCCGACGTCCAGGGCACAGTCACGCTCCAGCCACAGATACTCACCCATCAGACACAGCGTGTGGCATCCTTCCAAACTTTCACAGACATCACGGCATCGATCTTTATCTCTTAAGAATGTGATGAATTTACGAAGCAAGTCATGGGATTCCAAAACAGCGAGGCGCTGAGAACAAGTGCAGACTGTTAAAGCGAAAGCTGACGGGAAGAATTTCCCACTAGAGCATGAACTTGACCACCTGCAGGTCACCCCCTAGTAGCCAAACATGCTACTGATCACCAAAAATAAAAGGAACAAAGGTGAGAACCTGTTTCTTTGGGGTATTAACCAAAGTGTGCCCAGAGTGGCTGCTGACTTAGAAGAAGACTCAGGGGAAGAGGTGAGAACTAACAGAGAGACCATTTTACGCTCTAATTTCTAAGAAGAAAGGCAAGCGTGGAACTGGGGGGACTCAGAGCCCACTCACCTCAGGGGTCACTGTGCCGAGATGCGTCACGAGAGCAGGCACAGACATGATGTGGATGAGGAACGGCCGGAGCAGGTTGTCTGAAAACTGTGCGGCAACCACAGGGCTAGACACAGACAGGTCACCGCACTCAGGGGTCTGCGTGCGAGCCTGGGACAAAAGGGCAACGCTACCAAGGCCCCCCAGCCCCCTGGAATAACGCTTCACCGGACTTCCAGAAAAACCAAAGACCGGAAATGGGGCGATCCACTGAGGGAACGGCTGAGCCGAGGACGGGACAGCCACAGGACGCAGCCATGAAAAATCAGTTGTGAAGTTTTACTGACATGAAAAAATGCTCAAAGTACATAGTAAACTTAAAAAAAAAAAGGCAGAATAAAAAACTACATGGGGAGAGGTGAGGGGGTAGTGATTGGGAAGGAGAGAAATGAGGGATTTTGGAATGCATGTGCCCTGACCGGGAACTGAACCGGCGACCTTCCCCCTTTGCGGGACGACACCCAGCCAGCTGCGCCACACGGGTCGGGGCTGGCCTTCCAAACATTCTAAACCCGTGTTTATAACACTGTTCCATCGGCTTATGCCACCCTTTGCTGGCCCTCCTCCAGCTCATAGGTTTCCTTTATCAACTAAAATCTCAAAAGGAGAAGGAATTTTATCTTGACCCGGGGCTGACTGAGAACCAACACATTCAAGGCTACAGACAGAAGATAAGAAAAGAACTGTCACAGTGACTCGCCTCCTCTGCCCTCCCCCAGACCAACACTTCCTGCCGAGGCAGCGGGCAAACCCAGACCCACCGGGAGTGACCAGAGGACAGGGGAGCGAGAGGGCGAGGCGGCCAGCCCCTCGGCTGCCCCCACTCACCGCAGTGCGAGAGAAAAGGCTGCCGTCAAAGTGCTTTTGGACAGACAGGGCCGGGGTCTCGCCAGGCCTCGGGTTAACAGTATCTGAAAGGAACATTTCAACTGGTCAGGGAACGATGCCAACTCTGTATTCCTTTGTTCATTAAAAAAAAAAAGAGACATAAAAGTAAAATGAGTACCTCAGATAAAAACTAAATTGGAATGTTTTTAAAAATGAAAGGAGAGAAAAGTGATGGGTATAGAGGTTCATTACACCCTCCCTCACCTCTAAATAGTATGTTTAACTTTTAAAATAATAGACAGTTAAAAAATTAACAGCTGACAAAAACACCAGACTTAGAATTTTAAGACAAGCAGCCCCCAGTTCCGGGGTCACGCAGAGGCCGCCTTGCTGGGGGGAGCTCTGGCCGTCACACCACCCCCCAGGGCTGCCGTGCGGAGAGAGCGAGGCCGCGTCTGCACGGACCCCATCCCGGTGCCAGGCAGAGGGACGGGCCCGACCCACGCCACGGCTCACGCTGAGGAGTTCCGAAGAGTTACTTCTAAACAGCAGTGCAGGCTCCTGACCATCCCCCCGCTACACGGGCTGGCACGGAGGGTGCAGCGTGGACAGAAGGCTTTTGAGGACACAGAGCTACCCAGTTAATTCCAGACGCCAACCGAGAAGGAGCCAGAGGGAGCGAGCCCCGAGGCCTCCCCCGCCCCCGCCCGAGTTTCAATTTCAAGTGACTGGATTACACCTGCAGCCGAAGACACAGCACATTAAAGGGATCCCAGTGCCACCGTTTCCCTTCACCCAAACCGCAAGTGACCCAAGCGACCCAAGGCGGGGGAGGGAGGAAAGGACACTGAACATTCAACTCTTTTTGTAAAGTGTTTCCGGGAGGAGGGCACCGGATATGCCAAAACCAAACACAAAAATCCAAGCTCAGGTTTGGGGAGTAAGGTCACATACTAGGGGACTGGGCCACAGACCTGCAGCACGGAATAAAACCCACGCTGGTTGAGATGTCCCATTATATTTGCGCAGATGTGGGTCATGGCTGGTCGAAGACTCTCACCTAAACAAAGAAAGAATCCTGAGACACAAAAAACGTATCTGACCATACGTGAACGGTTTAGGTGGGACAGAAAGCCACACCCCGCGCCCAGGGCCCCAGGAAACGGGACACTTTCTGGCTTGCCCTCCTGCTCCCCTGGGCCTGGGACCCGGGTTCACGGAGGCACTGCACATCCAGGACCCTCTGTCTCCTGGAAGGCCCGGGTCACGTGTCATCCTCAGGTGACGGGGCCGTCATCCCCCAGCCAGAAGTGACGCCCCCAGGCTCTGAGGTCCTGCGGCACCTTCTCTACTTCCCTCCGAGGGCCAGGCACTGTCTATTCTCTGCTGCTGCCTCCTCTCTCCAACAAGATCGAAGCTCCCTGGCAGGGCCCAGGGCTCACCATGTTTTAAATCCTGCCCGGAGTCCAGGACAGTGCCTTAAAATAAACCCTCCCCCTGACTTGGGGCCTTTGAACGCCGGCTTTCTCTGCTTTCCGAGTTGTCCCTCCTCTTCATCCTGCGACCTCTAACTCGCCCGCCTGCTCCCAGCTCAGACGGCACTTCTCCAGGGAGGCCTGAGCGCTGACAGAGCGAGGCGAGGCTGGCCCTACCCGGCGCAACTCCCACGTCTCCTGTACTCTCCCTTCCGAGCACCAGGGCACGGGACACGCATGTGACCTGTCTGCAATGTCTGTCTCCCCCACGAGGCTCTCAGGTCTGTGGGCAGGAGTGGCCACAGAGCAGCGTCTGCACAGTGTCGTAGTCTGCACAGTGTACGGCACAGAGCAGGCTGTTTGCTGAACGGACGGGTGAAGTGACTGAATGAAAAGCATAAAGCTGAGTATAATATTCCCTGAGTATTCAGGGAAGTAGGCAGCTTTACAATGCAAATGTTATGGTCAAAGATTATTTGCTGCTGAATGATTCACCAAATGAAACGACAAGGCTTAATGTGAGCAAACATTGTCACTGGGTGCTGCAGGGGTAATAAAAATAAGATCAGAGGAACCATAGCTTTAAGCATAAATTCCAAAAACGGAGAATATAACACACGACACTGAACACATTCTGGACACTACAGTGTAGCCTGCTGGGAAGTGTGAAGGGCACCTTTGCCGGTATGGTCTCGGGCCTCCCGAGGCTTGAGATGGCAAAACTGCTTCTTAAAAAGGTGGAAAGGGCCCTGGCCGGGTAGCTCAGTTGGTTAGAGCATCTTCCTAATTTGCCAAGGTTGTGGGTTCGATGTCTGGTCAAGGCACATATAAGAATCAACCAAAGAATACATGAGTAAGTGGAACAAATCAATGTCTCTCTCTCTAAATGAATAAATTAAAAAACTTAAAAAAAAATTAAAGGTGAAAAGGTGCCCAAACTCTGCCCTTAGGAAAGATTTTGAAGCAAGTCCCACAGACCTTTTCCCCGGAAAATTTTCCACGTTGAAGTGTCTGTGAAGGTGACAAGCATCGTGAGGTACAGTGTGACGAGTCTGGAGTCTTGTAAGATTTCAGGCTGGAAACAAAGAAGAGAGTGAGTGAGATAAGACACGTGCACTCCAGTCCCAGACAGTGAAGCAACATTGTATAACTTGTCTGAGTGGACTCTGCTTGAACAAGTGAGTCAGCGTTACAAGCAAGTATTCTTTTTCTCTTGGGGAATGACCACCTTAGGAGTTAAATGACAGGGATTTTGACCCATTAGTCACTAACTACAGAATCTGAAGTACTTCTGAGAATGGAGAACTGAGAATTCTGGGAAACAGCTGCTACCTGAGCCCTTGCAAAGCCTCTGTCCCCGAAACTCCTCCCTCCTCCTTATGCGCGAAGTGGACGTGGCTGCTGTTTGCACCGCCTCACACCTCTGTCCGCCTTCTCCCAACACAGAAGTGGGCACGAGACCAGGCTGGGCCAGTGGTAGTACCCCACCCTGCTCACTACTGTGACCAGATAAGGGTTGAGACCGGGGCCCCACTGGGTCACTGAGGTCTCCCAGATTTTTAACGGGTAGGGACGTCACCCTTTTCTCTTTGGTCAAGACAGAATATGAGGCCAGAACTGCTGGCTTCCAGGATCACAGCAGAAGCAGCCAAGGTGACTCCAAAAGGCTCCAGAGATGAGAAAGAAGAATGAGGGGAGAACCCAGCAGCCCCGGCTCTGATCATCCCCAGCTGCCATGTTACAGAACACACTCTCCGACAAAAGGTTCTTTCTTGCTTAGCTTGTGTATATTATTTGCTGTGCTCGTGTTGGATTCCTGCACTGATAAAAGAAGCCTGACTAGGGTAGCAATATAAACGATGAAGTATCCATTACAGCAAAACCATGGGGAGGAAGATGGGACTCCCTGGCATCGACACTGTGGCAAGCACAGGTCGATGTTCAAAATACGTAGATCAAAGGAGGGCTGAAATGGACAAGGGAACCTGACTCGCTCTCTCCTAGAACGGGGGCTCCGATAACTCTTTACTGGATCCTGACTGATAAATCTGACAGGTGTAACCTATGAGGGAAGCACGAGGACTCTGAAAATGCATACGAAAGGCCCCAGATGGGAAGGACACATTTCCAGTGTTTCACTTTTACCTTGAGCTGCTTAAGAAACTCACAGCAATACCAGAGGATGTCCTTGATCTGTTTGATCCACAAGAGGGTGAGATCCTTGGAGAGAGCCAGGGACACATACCACACCTACAAGGAGGGCAGAGAGAAACGCCACGGGTGGTTGCAGGGGTCAAGCGAGTACGTGCCAGCTGCTGGCACGGCCCCGGTCAGCTCGGTTCGGTGCCGCGTAAGGCAGTGAGGATCGATGGGCAAACAAGCAGCCAACGAGACTGACTTTAACCCTCAACCATCCCACTCACCTTGGGTTCATTCTCAGCATCCATACTGCTCAGGATGCAGCGGCACAACTTTTCAAATCTCTGCAAGGAGGCAGAAGGGGGGCGTTAAGTTCCTGGAACTAGTGAAAAACGGGAAGCAGCAAATGTCTGGCGGACACCCGACGGAGGCATGCCTGTTATGCCAAAGACTCACACCCACGATCATTTTAAGTTCCTTCCCACAGACATGGGAACTGAGGGTCAGAGAAGCTAAAGAAAGGCTTTCAAACCGGCAGCCTCGTGGGTTGACGGGCCCTACGTTTGTTTTGGGAGCTGGTACATTTCATATAAAATCCAGATGGGGGCTCCCTTCGAGAATGAAGTTAATCCAGCAAACTCCGCTTGGACTCCTGCAGACCAGCAGCCACCTCCTGAAGCAGGCTCTCACTTGCCATTTTGTGAGATTCGTGGATACTTTTGTCTCAGACTGCCGTGTCATCACTTCTTATCTTCAAACGCAAATGGAAGGAGAGGGGAAGCTGGACGCCAGACTACACTGTGGCGGCACCAGTCCTGGGTCCGCCCTTAAACTCGGTGTGGTCCTGGGTGGCTGCCCCATCACTGTCAACTCTAGTTCCTTCTTCCGTAAATGGGCCCACCTCACTGAGCCTGTTTGTCCTCGTCTACGTGACCGGGTGTTCCCGGCCAGCGAACTCCTCCCTCTCCTGCTGGGCTCCGAGCTCTCCAGAGTAGAGACCTTGCCCACCTTGTCGCCTTCTGGAGCCCCGGGGCCTAGCAGAGGGTCTGGCACAACGGGAGACTCGGCGATAATGAAGGCATCATCCCTGATCACCCAGAGGCATGCCTCAATGGTACCGTAAGTACCGTTACAGACAACTAGCTGTTTCCTGGAGTCGTATTTTCTGGGCTAATTCTAATCCCAAACGTACAACCAACATGTCTTCTTTGGCTTGCAGGATTTAAAAGAAATTTGAAATTAGCTACTGATTTTTATAAATTAGAAAACTGAGCATAAAGAAGTCCAGCATCTCTTTAAGAAATCAGAGTCCGCCACTGGGTGAAGCTGAGCGGAGGCCGTCCCCTTCGGGTGGGCGTGCCCAGACACCATCACTCCCCCGGTGTCCTCGCGGTCACCGAGCGCTTCCAGCTGTGACGGCTGGTACTGTGTGTGGTCTCATGAACGGCTTCTTGCACTCGCTCACCTCACTCACCTGGCTCCTGTGTGCAGCTGAGTCCACCGAGTGCTGTGATACTTGGTGAGGAGAGAGCTGTGAGGAGGCCCGGAGGCACAGGGCATAACCCCTGCAACACAGGTCCCAAGGAGACCACAGGGCAGGATGTGGGAGTACCAGAGAGCTGCTAGCCCAGGGGGTTGCTTTAAGGACCGAATGGCCTCACATTTATAAAACACCTGGCAGACAGTAAGTACAATGTATATGTGCTATTATTGTTTTACCTCATTATCCTCTTTAATTCTGAACAAGAACAGCAGTTTCCTGGCGATCTTAAAAATACACAGTGCACTTCTTTTACTGGACCCAGAATCATCTGCTTTAAAAAACTCATCGATCTCTTTCCTAAGGAACAGAAGGGTAAAAAAAAAAAAGACAGTTTTAATTAGGTGCTCAGAGCAGCTGGAAAGCTTTTTAAGCACTGTGAGGGAAGGCGCCATCTCTTCTTGCCATAAAGTGGGAGCCAGAGAAAACGTGCTGAGGGTGCCGGCACCCACCTGATTTCCCTCTGCAGTCGGCTCCGACAGAGGAAGCTCCGGACGTGGGCCTGAATGCCCACGGCTGCGCGCTCCCGCTCCTTCTGCACGAGCCTCTCCTCCCGAGCCTGGCGGGCTCTGTCGATGAACCACGCTCGCGAGGTCTGAGAAACGGTGAACATGTTCGCACACCTGCACAAACCCTGCAAGGAAAATGGCGACTGGTCGGTGCAGATCATTGAACGAAAAACACACACAGAAAGTGGCTCAAGAGCGGCGGGTGGGCAGGGACGCGGGCGGCGGCGGCAGCAGAGAGCTGCCCCGGCCCTCCAGCGCCTTCCAGAGTGCTAATAGCTCTCCTGGCACAAGTCCCAGCTTCCTGCCGGCTCTCTTCACGCAACTCACTAAGAGCAGAGACTCTTCTCTTGTACCAAACAATCACATTTTCTTAAGAAAAAGAGCACCGTGCCCGGCACAGGGTGTGGGCCCTCTAACTGTCTAACGAACAAGCGAAGCAGGACTCGATGCCTTCGTTCAACTCTGTAACAGTTAAGGAGCAGTTCCATGTATGCAGCCCTAGAATTATTTCAGCCCTTTGAAGGCAACCTCGAGGCTGGTGTGGTCCCCGGTGAAAATGAGTTTGACACCGCTGCACTAAATTGAACAGGTTTTGTTTTACGTGGAACTTAACCGTTGTTCTTACTGATCCCACTCTTCGAGGGGCAATGAAGCACTCAGAGCAGACTGGTCTGGTCCCACCCACTGACTGGTACTCATGGAGAGAGGCTCTGAATTATCCATTACGCACTTTCACCTCAATCACCAGCCACTCTTTTCCCGCCGGGACGGCTTTGGCTAGCAGCCTGCGGCGCACAGCGCTGGTGCAGGGAACGTCTGGTGCTGAGACGATCTCCCTAGATGCGGATTAGCTTTGTCATTCTATCCAGAGAAATGTAATCAGTCCAGCCGGCAAAAGCACTGAAATGTTATTCATAAGTCCAAACTTCTAGAAAAGGATTTCTTTCTGGGCTACTTCACTGGAAGCAGCACGCACACGGAAACCTCGCCCACAAGGAAAGGCTCCCGGGAGGCCCCGCCCATGCCGGCACGCGGAGGGGCCTCTGTGGCCCCCTTTCGGCGCTGCTTCCCATCTGTTAGACACAAGTCTTTGCCAACACGTGCGTCTCTCCTCTACAGGTCTCAAAGCAAATGAACCGAGTCCGCCTGACCACGGGAGCGGGGTGAGAAGACTGCAGATAAACAGGCCTTCCGAGTCACTCCCTCTCCCCACCCGGCAGCGGGCGCCCCGAGTGCGCACCCGAGGGCCTGCCTGAGTCGCCGCCGAAGTGCCAAGTGATCATCGGTGGTCGTGCAGAGGACTCACCGCCGGGGGCAGCTTCGCACTTCAGTGCCACTTCTCTTCTCTGCAGAAGCGGAAGAAAAAAACCCAGATTGAGGGTTAGAGTCTTTTGTTTTTAATCCTCACCAACAGATAGAGCAATTGACTTTAGAGAGAGAGGAAGGGTGGTGGCGAGAGAGAAACATCGATGTGAGAGGAAAACAGACAGGTTGCCTCCTCTATGTGCCCGTCCTCGAACCAAACCTGAGAACTGTGCCCTGAGAACTGACCCTTGACCCTTCAGTGTATGGCTTGATAGTCCAACCAACACCGGCCAAGGTGAGGGTTAAACTTTATAGCTAGAGCATCATACAGCTTCCTCCCTGAGTAAAAGCAATAAATGCAGTGCCTCTGGTTTCAACAATGACAACACTGTGTTCTCTTTAGTTCATGTCTGGTCTAAATTTTAAACTTCATCTCCACAGGCCTCACAGTTTAAGGGAACTGGTTGAAATACAGCTGACCTTGAACATGGGTTTGAACTGCACAGGTCCACTTATACATGGATTTTTTTTCAATAAATACTGTAAATGTATTTCCTCTTCCTTAGGATTTCCTCAACATGTTTTTCTCTAGCTTACTTTATTGTAGGAAGACAGTAAATAAAACAGGCAAAATATGTTAATCGACTGCTTCTGTTACCAGTGAGGTTTTCAGTGAACAAGCAGGCTGCCAGTAGTAGTTCAGTCTGGGGGGAATCAAAAGTTATACGTGGATTTTCACGGGCACAGGGTGGGGGGGGGTCAGTCATACAATCTGGGCCTGTTCAAGGGTCAACTATGATGCCAAAGAAGTTACTGGATCAAAGCTTTGTTATGTAAACAAGAATAACTCAGGGGATAGAATGTGAAAAAGCCACTGATAATACTGTTTAATATTTTTAACAACATTGAAAAATGTTTACCCCTAAGAAGCCCTGTGAACCAGTATGACCTTGATTAGACGAGAAAGAAAAGCGCACGTGCACACGGAGGCCCGAGACTGGGGGGGACACTCTGGCACGTTAAGTGAGAGGGGCTGCTCCAGGAGAGGGGAATCGCGGGGAGCTGTGTTCGGTAGCTGGTCTGTCCTCTGAGCCTCGCACAGCAAGCTCACGGAAAGGCAGCACGGCACTGAGAGGCGTCTCGGAGCCCTTCTGTCTTCCTCTGCTCTGGGGCCAACCTTGAGGCCGAAACGAGCTGACACGCGTCAAGTACCTACCGAGGTGGCCAACCTAGCGCAGTCAGTAAGTCTGATGTGTTATTTCTACAAAGTTTTTCTTCTTTTAAACCAGTCTTCAACAGAGGCTCCCATCTGTCACTAAGGTTCTTGGGATAAGAAATAATGTTGGGACCCTCACATTCCTCAGATGAGATTTTTTCCCTGTCCCTGGGTGCACTAAGATGCATCAGTCCTGTCACGTGGGACACGCACCCCTGGCCCTGTTTAGGTTGGCTAATGGCTTCAGACTCCTGAGCGCTGCGAGAGAGCTGGGCCCGTGCCATGAGCGGAGTGGTTTGCTTTTTCCTCAACATGTAGAGCCCTTCGCGTGTGGGGGCGGGGAGGCGAAGCAGGAGAAGCAGGGGCCCGATCCCAGTGGAAAACAGGAGGCTGCACACACACTGCAAGCGCCTGCAGGAGCACAGCAAGTCCTTGGTTAACGTTTTCTATATGTTATTGGAGCCGGGGCAAAACACAAGTAATGAAATAAATTCTACCACAGGCCAGTTGACATAAACAAGAGTTAAGATCCTACAGCATCTCCTCAATGTTAATGTTAATCAACACTAATGAAACAAAGCTTTTTGTGGACCTGCTGTATCTCACACGTCCCCTTCTCCCAGGGGACCCAGGATACCATCCCCTCAGCAATACTGTATGTCGGTTTCTGTTTAGCACACACGAGTCTATAGTCTGCAGTTTTTCTAGTTCTTATATACCTCCCCTGCCTGTACTGTGTCTACTATAATACATTTTATCCATAAAATAAAACACATCATAAAGTATTTAAGTGCTTCCTTTGCTAAATACCATGGAGGATCAAAGAAAAGGCTGTAACAGAAAAAGTTTTGGATCAGACAAAATAACCCTTGGTTCTTTTCAGTTCTGATTCTACCTCATTTGGCCAAATTACCCTGTTTGGGCCTCAGTTTCCTTATCTGTAAGTTGAGTATAATATTAGTAATGCACCTGCTTCCTAGGGTTGCCGAAAGGATTAAATTAAGAATTCAATGAAAGATTTACCCTTCTTATACCTCAATTTAGTCCTCATGACACTGTAATTAGCATTACATGAAAAAACATTAATAAAAGCATCTGGAAGCAAAGAGTACATAAGCAAGCTTTTCTGTACTGTCCTTAAGCAGCTTACAATTGAGTTAGGGAAACACCAGTGATAAAGGTGGGAAGATGAGGAAAAAAGAGGTTGGTAACGACCAAGGTCACATGAAAAGCAAAATGAAAACACGTTGCTTGAGCACCCACCGAGGGCCAAGTCCTTTCTAAGCCATCTCTAATAAGAACAGCAACGCTGTGAGATCATTGGGTGTCTCCCGTAACCCAGGTTAGACCGCCAGTTAGGGTCAGAGCCATGATTTCTATTCAAACAGACAGGACTCAGTCTCTCCTTCACTTAAATATTCCTATGAGACCTGCTCAAAAATCAGTCTTTTCTGGAGAGGGCCAACTTCATGGGGAACGATGAAAGAGCAAGAGAATCCAAAGAGTATTGTTCAAAGGTGGAGCAACATGCCAACTGCTGACTGCGCCCAGAAGGATTCTCTCTAGGTGATGCGAATAGGTGGGCTGTCAGGTTTAATGACTACCTCTGTCTAGGTGTGTGCTACTATCAGTGCCGCCTTCACAGGAAGAAAATGAAATAGAGAGATGGGGACAGGGCTTGTCAGAGGTCACTAGACTCCTAAATCTGAACTCAAGTCTAACTCCAAAGCAATTATTTCCTTGTAAGTGAAACACACGAGACCCAGAGAGTCCCCCATCCACAGAACAGCAAAGAAAAGCTGAGAAGGCAAGGCTGTCCGTGGAGCTAGGTTACAGTCAAATTTTGAACAAGCTTTTCTTTACTGCTTCACTAACTCCAGCTGCCTTTATTGACAGTGGAGTGTCTGGCCCGGTACTAAAACTTGCATTATACAATATCCTCTGTGAAACGAGATAATTACGCAATTTCACAGTGGAGGAAACTGAGTCTCAGAGAGGTGAGGGAACTCACCCAAGGTCACACAGCGAGAAAATAGGATTTGAACCCTGGTTTCGGTGACTCCTAAGACCCGGCGTCTTGCCTTGGCAACAACAGCCACAATAACAAATCTTTTCCACCCAGCGTTAGTACGTTTATGAAGGCCCAGAAATGACAAGAGATGGAAAAGGCTACGGAGAGAGCACCCTTAAGCGTAAAAGCCAGCCGCTGGCACCTGACCCTCGGACCAGGTGAGGCAGGGACCTCTGCCCAGGGCCACCTCCCTTAAAGTCCCCGGCCCCAACACCCAGTGAATCCACAACCCTGGCCCCACTCGCTACCGGTAGGACGTAGACCTTTCTCCGCTCGAGGCCCCAGCGCTCGGGGTCGGAGCCGCAGGTACTGTCGCCTCAACCGAATACACCTGAAAGCTGGTGGACCCGGGGCAGCGACCAAGACTTCACCGCCATCTTGCCCCGGGTGTTCCTTTTCAGAGCTCCGCCGAGCAACAGCTATCCAGTTCCGGACAACGACAGTTCCGCAGAGCTTCTCCGCCCGGGAATGACAACCTTTGAATCTTTCCCTCCTCTCTGGAAGCTGAAAATCGGAGCATTCAGGATCAGGACAAATGCCTGACCCAGAAGAGAGAAGATGCAACTTTTCTAGCCAAGCATGTTGGAAGGAAAGCGGCTAATGTGTAGGAGTACATCGGATCGTCTAGGAAAGGGCCCTCTGCGGGGCGGAAGTGGGATACGGACGGCGGAAGTTTCCGCCCCTGCCCCGCCTCCGCCCCTGGCTCATGCGAGCTGGGTGTTTCCTGCCTCTTTCAGTCCGGGTTTGGAGACTCCGGAGTCCTCCAACTTTTCATGGTACGGAGGGCGGTTCCCGCCGACTGGGGGTTCTGGGCGGCCGAGAGAGCAGGGCACAGCCAGAGTAGAGGGGGAAGGGACAGACAGGAGGGGTTGCGATAGCCGCTGTCGCGATAGGGAAGAGGCATTTGGGGGATAGGATGGGGGCGAGGCCGAGGGTGGGGGAAGGGCATTAGGTGGAGAATTTGAGGACGGGGGCGCACCCTGGCTGTTGGGAATCCAGGAAAATTTGGGCTTGGAAAGTAGATTTGTGTGGGTGGACGGGGCGGACGGTGGGTGTCTGTGAGTCTTGAGTGCTTGTTAGAAATGGGAATTAGTGATTGTGAAAAGAACAAAGAGATGTCATTGAAGACCGACATTTGGGGTGGAAAATTAGGGTTTGGGGAATTGTGAAAGAGAATAAGTAGGTTATGAGAGGGCGAAGTGGGATTCCTTGGGACGAAGAGTTTTGGGTTTTTGGAAGTTGTGATAGGTTTCGCTGGGTTTGAGGGAAGTGGGGAGCGGCTTGCTCCCAGGTGCCTCTGGACACGGGCGAGCGGATGCGCGTGTAGAAGAAATCGGCCGGCGGGTGTGCGTTCGGTGCTTAGAACTCCGCGGAAGGATGCCAGGGGCCTGAGGTCAGGATACCTTCGCCGCGGAGTCCGGCGCCTTATCTGAGCCTGGGTACCTATGTAGGCACTTCTGTTGAGGCCCGAGGTAGCTGCACCTAAGGAGTTGGGGATGTCTCACAGTGTCCCAGCTGTGGGGAGTTTCTGTGTGTTCGGGTTCCTCAGAAGTTTATTCCGTGAACAGCTCTTTATCCTTGGATAAGAATGAGCAAAGTTCAGCCCAGACCCTCTTCTTACTTGTCTGCCAGTGTCTCTTCCCTCCAAAGTGCAGCCTTTAAAGGGAGGACCAGCCCCAGGGACACTGCTGAAGGAAAAGGAGCCAACCTGTCTCTGAGTTTGGTCTGGTCCATTTCGTGTAAAATCAGGACCACCTCAGGGGAAGAAGGCATAAACCAGTGCTTCTCACACTGTGGTCCCCAGACCAGCAACATCAGCTGGAACTTGTTCAGCCAAATTTTCAAGTCCTATGACTGTTGAATCAGTCTGGGGTGAGGCCCAGCAATCTATTTTACAAGTCCTGCAGGGGATTAGAACAATGATTTTTGATTCAGGCTATATGATGAAAAGGATGAGAGAGTGGGAATCTGAGGACCTTAATAGTTCTGATTCTTAATTGTCTCCCCTAAAAAGTGGGATTGGTGGCAACATTTTCCTTGCTAGATTGTTATTTGCCTGCTAAACACAAGAAGAGAATGTCGTTCCGCAGAACCCTTGGAAATGGCAGTAGCTGTCCTGTAGGTTTTGCATCAAAATAATGCTGCACTTAGGTGGCTGATTGAATTTACCCTATCTTGCCGTGTATAATGCACACCCATGGTTTTTGTGCGCAATATGCACGGGATTATACCCATGGTACGTGGTCATTATGCCCATGTATAATGCGCCTCCTTATTTTTCCCTGAAAAATTTGGGCACAAAGGTGCACACTATACATGGCAAAATATGGTAGTTTGGTTGAAGCGGAACCACAGACTTTTGTAGAAATGCCCTCAATTCAGGGGAAGTTGTATAATGAGCCCCAAGGCAGGGACTCTTAGATCTAGCTGGTTAAAAATGCAACTTTGTGGTTTTCAGCTCTGGCCACACATCAGAATCACCTGAGGAGCTTTTTCAGTTTTATTTATTTTTAGAGAGGAGAAAGAAGGGAGAAAGAAGGAGAGAAACATTGATTGGTTGCCTCTTGCACACCTCCAACTGGGAACCTGGCCTGCAACCTAGGCTTGTGTCCTGGTTGGGAATTGAACCAGTGACCTTTTGGTCTGCAGGCGGGTACGCAACCCACTGAGCTGTGCCAGCCAGTACCGAAGAGCTTTTTAAACTCTGGTTTCTGAGCTGCCACGCTCCTCCTCTCCCCTCCCCAAATTTGACGGCTTATTCTGGGCCAGAGCCCAGGCATTAATACTTGCTAAGCATCCACAGGTGCTTCCAGTACACCCAGGGCTGCGATCTCTGGTTTAGGGAAACCTCGAGGGGCGGAAGGAAAAGTACACTAAGAACCAGGTGGCGAGTACTTTAGCATCTGTTCCCTGGGGGTTGGTTGGTAGGAAGAGTGTGGCTTTATCTTCCTTTTACAAGTTAGGAAGCCCAGGCTGGGCGAAATAGCTTGTCTGAGCAGCACCTAGGAAGTCGTGAAACTGGGCTGTAGTCCAGGTTGACCACACTCCTGATTAAACCTTCCACGCGTGTCTCCCCCAACACACGCACAAGGCAGAGAGTTCTTCGGAGAAGTGTATAGAAAACATCTGTGGTTGAGGGGTGCTGCGCCTTTTTCCTGCTGTACTTGCTTCAGGTCAGCATTTTAACCCCTTCAGCTGACTTGAAGGTTTTTAAGCATGCGTACAGTTGCTTCTTGTTTGTGGCTCTGAAGCTGTGAAGCAGGGGCAGGCGTTTATCTTTGATGGTTCGTTTTTATGCACGGTCAGGGGTCAGGAATTCGGTGGGCCAATAGAGCAAAAGGTCCGGGGATTTCTCTTAAGGCCACGATGGTAATTATAGCCTAATTAAGGCATGTGGAACTTTTTAGAACAGTGGGTTGCTATCCCGGCTGCACGTTATAATTACCTGGGGGACTTTTAAAAATCCTGTTGCCCATGCCACAACTCCAGACCAGTTACATCAGAATTTCCATGGCTAGGACCCAGGCACCAGCATTATTTGAAGCTCCCCAGGGGATTCTAATGGGCAACCAAGTGGAGGGCCACCGTTCAGAATCAGCAACACTATACTACACAGGGGAGATGGAAAGGAGAGAAGCCTTGACTTATCCATCCATCCATCTAACTGCAAGAAACTTCTTTTCCTGATGGAATGGACTCAGTAACCAATACTCCCACTATTAATCACCTCTCTTTCTTTTAACCAATTTTGCTTTCTCCCCTCCCACCTCCCTAACCTCGTGAAAAGTGAAGTCAAACCTTTGAAACAAGTTAGAAAGCGGGATGGCTGGGGACTCCTCTGTGGAGAGGTTTGCTGTGAGAAACTTACTGTCTCCTGCTTTGTGTCCTCAGCTCACTGTGACTTGGGCTCTGAGACACGAACAGAGCCAGAGTCTTTTCTCCTTATGGCTCCTCTCAGGAATGGGGCGGCCGACCTGTGGAGGAGTGGGCTCCGGAGAGGGTCAGAGCTTGCTTTGTCTGTTCCGGAGTCTCCATCTGGATCAGGATGCTTTCTGCCTTTGTCTCTGGGAAATTCAGTCGGGTGTCAGCGAGCTGGGATCGGTGTCCAAAGAGAGGATAACCTGAGACTTTGAGAGCGTCCTCAAGTCGTCGTCATTGGGGTGTTCCATGTCGGAGTGTCTGCGCTGAGCCAGGGACCGAGCTGAGTGCTCTGTGGCGTCCCTCACAGCGGGCCTGGGGGCCGGTGCTGCTCTTGTCCCCGTTTGACAGACGGGACTGAATTCCGGCAGGCGACTCCCCCCATTAGTGAATGACAAGGCTGGGGGTTTAATTCTGCTCTGACTGCCAAACCCAAGCCCATAGCCACCCATCGCCTCCCAGCTTTTCAGAGCTTGTCTGGACTTTCTAAAGAAGGGGGTGGGCCCCCCTCTGTCAGTTTATTTGCCATCGCTCTATACAGGCTGAGCATGACCACCGGTAAAGTCCTGGGCTCAAGGCGGGACTTGCCCACGCCCTTCATCACAAACTCACTGTGGGAAGTGACCAAGTTGTGGGCCAGGGGTCCATGCTCACAAAATGGCAATCCCGATAGCTGTCTTCTGGTGCTGTTTGGGTTTTGAGCGGTTGTGTGTGGAGGTACAAATGAAAACCATGGTACCTTCTGCGAGGCCAGGGTGGCAGAGGGGCTCCCCGGAGCCGCAGAAGTATCTCTGGGTTGGAGTGGGCGGCGGCTCTGGTACAGCCACTAACCGACACTCATGCAATTGTATACTCCAAATACAGGCGACTGTGTGCAGGTTATCTTTTAAGTACTGGACAGCAAGGAAATACATTAGGTATACTTTATGCCTTTTTTTCGTCTGTTTCATGGTAGGTGCCTTACAAAATGCTAGACCATATCCCCAAAACTTATTTTGGGGGGGGGGTAAGTTACTTCTGTCGTCCATGGACAAGGAGTTTTCCTGGGGAAGGGTTAGTGTCTGGTCTCTGGGGACTGATTTCGAAGGCAAGCTGGGAGCAAGGGGGCACCACTTCCTCTGGCCTTTTTCACGCCTGGCCTCAGGCCACAGCCACAGCCACAGCCCCAGGCGAGCAAAGGTCAGACACCCCGAGCTTTCGAAAACTTACCGTTCTGTGACGTTTTTACTGGATGAGGCAGAACCTGTTTCGTGCGGCACCACTTGTCTCTCCAGAGGCCATCCTTTGCCAGGCTGCGTGGCTCCGACGTGAGGCTGCCCCTGGGTGATTTCCAGGCCTCTCCTTCGGGGGACCGAGGTGGACAGGACCGGCCATCGCCCTGCTCTCCCTGGTGAAAGGCGGGCGGCCGCCCATCAGTTCCTTATTCCAGTGAAAAATGACGTCTGTGTTTTAACACTTGTAAGTGCGACCCAGGTTCGTTGTGGGAGATCTGCAAAAGAGAGAAAGGCATCAGGAACTTACTAGTAAAGAACAATTCTTTTTCAGTATCAGCATTTTTAAAAGTTTCATGTGGCAGCCAGTACCACCAGGAGCGCACCTGTAGTCAGAGTTGTTTATTTCCCTGATGTGTCAAGGGACAGCTGCTGGGCGTTGTGGAGGTTTGCGACCTGCCGGGAGTGGTTTGGGGAGGGTTCAGGGAATGGGGCTCTGCCCGGCGCCGGATGCTGTCTGGACGCAGAGCTGGTTCTGGGGTGGGGCCCTGGTGGCTCCTGGTTTGGAGGCGGGAGGAGCGGCGTGGGGCTGAAGCTCTCCTCGGTGACGTGGCAGCAGGATATTAGCCTTGATGAGGGGGTGCTCGGTGACTTTTGTGTTTCGGATGGCGTTGCTCTTCTTGTCTTTGTTCAGATGGGTACCGGGCGGTCTCACTTGTGTCTGTGACCCATCAGTGGCCAAGCAGCCTCATCTGTGCCGTGGAATCATCCACATCCAGGTGACGTCAGGCCGGGCCCGGCTTTCTCAGTGCCGTGCCCCGGATTTGGTAAAGGCTCGGTCCACTCTTGGGCATCTTCTCCAGCTATAGAATTCTACTCACTAAGTCAAGAAATGTTTTTCTTCCTGGCCAGATGGCTCAGTTGGTCGGAGCGTCATCCAAACCCAGACACCAAAATGTTCTGGGTTCGATTCCAGTTGGGGCTCATACAAAAGGCAACCAATCTGTGTCTGTCTGTCTGTCTGTCTCTCTCTCCCTCCCCCTCTCTCCCCCCTCTCCCCCCCTCTCCCCACTCTCTCTCCCTTTCCCCTTTCTCCCTTCCTCCTCTCCTTTCTCCCTCTCTCCCTTCCCCCACCTTCTAAAATCAATAAACATCTGCTGGTGAGGATTTAAAAAAAGAAAAAGAAAAGGGAAATGTTTTCTTTGAGTGCACATGTGCCAGGCACCGGCCCGAGTTGCGCCTGCTCAATCCGAACGCTGCATTCCTCTCTCGGCCGCGTCCGCGAGGGCTGGTGCCACTGCAGCGTCATGCGGAGACCGTTATCAGATCCTACCGTTTGGGGCGATGCTAGCACAGGAAGTCTCTAGTTTTGCAATAGCTTGCTTCCAAGAGTTTTTACACCTGCCCTTTAGCTCTCAGAAATACTTCTTTTCTATAGAAGGTTTTAGGAATGGTGGTTGGAATCCTACCTTCATAAAAGCTCATTTAATCTGTCATTCAGCTGAAAGGTGGCACTTGTGGTTGCTCTGTGTGCGTGGCAATAAGGAAAGAGAGACCTGGGCAGCGCTTCAGGACGCAGCCAGTGCGTCTGTTTACGTGGGGAGTGGGGGAGTGGAAGCCCTCCTAACACAGGAGTCAGTGGCAAAGCAGGGTCAGCAGGGTCAGTGGGTGAGGTCAGCGTATGAGGCCTCTGGGCGGAGTTTGCAGCGGATTGGGGAAAACATGCCCCTCGCCGGGGGGCAGCCTACACCCCAGCTCCCACCAGTTGTTGCCCTGCTGGCCAAGTCGGCCTCTGGTTTTAAGAGAAGCCAGAAATCCACATTTTTCTGTGAACTCTTCCTGAGTTGTCAACATTGAAAGTAAAGCTTGTTTTAAAAGCAGCATACACTTGGACTAAGCCATCTGGAGACCAGGTTCAGCCCAGTGGCTGTAGGAAGTAAACCAAGCCTGGTGCTGTGACCCTGGTGACCCTGTGTCTTCTCCCTGGCAGGAAGAGATGTCAGGAGAAAGTGTGGTGAGCTCAGCGGTGCCAGCGGCTGCTACCCGCACCACCTCCTTCAAGGGCGCAAGCCCCAGCTCCAAGTACGTGAAGCTGAACGTGGGTGGCGCCCTCTACTACACCACCATGCAGACGTTGACCAAGCAGGACACCATGCTGAAGGCCATGTTCAGTGGGCGCATGGAAGTGCTCACCGACAGTGAAGGTAAGCCCGCCCTCCAGGTGGGGGGTGGGGGGGGCATGCTGTGGTCGAGGGCTTCACTGAGCTCGGAAGACCAGCGTGAAATGCACAGCTGTCCCCACAGCTACAGACCTCCTGTTGTGCTCAGCGTTGTCATGGTGTGCAGGGAGTCTTGAGAATGAATAACAGGGAGACTGGATCTAGTCTGGGGTGTGTGGTCAAGGAGGGCTTCCTGGAGTAAGTGACATTTAAGCTGAAACCTGAAAATGACTAGGAGCCAGCTGGACAGGGACTCACAGTCTTATCTTTGTTGCTCTTGCCACGAGAAGTTGTTGATTGGCTAAGTCACCTTCCCACTCCAGGCCTCAGCTCTGTAAAACGGAGGCTGGACTAGCCACCCCGTTGGTTCCCTTCCTGTTCCCTCTGCAATGAGCCTCTGACTCCACAGTGGAACTCGTGTGAGTCACAGCATCTTCTCTCGTCACTTGCCTCCTGGGATGGGGTCCTGACAAAGAGTCACAGACCCGGAACTGAGTCACAGCTCCCCGTTTAGTAGCTGGTGACCGTAAGCAAGGCGTTTACCCCGTCATTCTCATTTCCCCTCTGGTGAAGTGGGCACAGTGATCCCCACCGCCTGGGGCTGTTCGCACATAGTAGGTATTCAGTATGTGTATTTTCAGTACTTCCGCCCCCCCCCCCCCGCCTTTTTTTGTGGAAAGTCATGTCAGTAAAAGGCAAAGAAGTGGTTAAAGTCATCTTACCGTAACTACTTCCTACCCACCAGCAACAAAGAGCCCCTGAGAAATGGGAGTGACCTTACCTGGGTGGGTTTAGGGGACAGGTTGCCTGAGGTTTAAACGTGGCCCCGTCCCGCATTCCTGGGCCTGAGGTTGCTTGTGACCAGGCCAGACAGACCGCAGCCTGGCTTGACCCAGCCGGCCTGCATCTGAGGCCGGCCTCAGTGTCCACGCCCCTGCCGGGGGGCGGTTCCTGAGAGGGTGGGGGAGTTCTGACGCAGCAGCTGGGCTCAGGGTGACTAAGCCCGGTGTGCACAGCACATCCTGCGACCCTGAGAGGGCTGCCACCACGCGGGGTGTCCCTCTCTGTGTCCTGCAGGACGCCAGGCTGCAAGGCTGCAGTTCCGTGCCTTTGGGCTTCCCTCGAACTGGGCTGCCCAGAACTGCCTTCTGCCTGACTCAAAAAAAAAAAAAAAAGCTTTCTGTGAGTGGGAGGATCTGCTTTGCTGTGCCACGCCCAGCACTGCCCGGAGTGTTTGTGGAAACCAAGACAATGGCACCCCAGCTGCAGGAAGGAGCAGGCCTTATCTGAGAACCCAGGACTGCTGGGCTTTTCTTCTGCCCTGCCCAGCCTCTGGTGGGGCGCAGGAAAAGCAGAGCCGCCTCAGAAGCAAAGAGGGAGCCCCATCTCCTTGAAAGCCCTCGCCTTGGTGGCCTGACACTTGTCCCAGAGAGACAGAGTCCTCAGACTCCCCTGTCCCCAGACTTGGAGCGGTGCCTGGGGCTGCTGAGGCTTCTACTTCGCTGCTGGAGGACGTCCTGACCCCTGCTTCCTGGAGCACCCAGCCCTCTGGGGATGCTGCGCTGTCTGTGACACCCCAGCCTCAGCAGTTTGCATCACTAGGGCTCCGGCTGCCTCCACACCCTTATTGGAAAGCCCCCAGTATGGCATTTTAGTGTCGTTGCATTCATTCCTCACCCTAACCCTTGGAGGGGTGGGTACCGTTCTGTTGTCACAGTGTGAGAAGTAGAAAGCCACTTCTCATGGGAAATGCTTTTCCAAAAGCTCCCGAACCCAGGACTTGCTGGCTCTTACCGTCTGCTCTCTGTGGTTTGATGTGGCCCCACAGCCCTGTCCAGGTCGCCTTGGTGTGGCAGCTGTTGTGTTCAACTACTGGCTTAGGACTGCGGCCCTTTTGGCGCCCTGTGAGGGCCTGGCCTGGCGGGCCGGGCGTGGGGCCCCTGGCCTGAGCCCTGGCCGGCTCAGCGGTCCTGTCGGTGAGGGCACGACGCAGCCTGACCCGGGGCCGACAGTTGCCTCCAGGACACCTATGGGTCCACAGTTGGGGAAAACTCCCTCCCTCTCACAGCTTCACCCGGGGAAGGCTGGCGGCAGCAGTGAAGTTCTCCACAGACGGGCTGAAACGCCAGGGGCAGCTCACCCAGACAAGCGAACCCAGCAGTGGAGCCTGCTGGCTGAAGGACGGGGGCTCTGAAGGCACAGGACAGAGCGCCTTTTCTGTCGCCAGAAACCTCTGAGGGGTGCCTGAGACGCCGGTCTCTTCGGGGGCGGGGGCCTCGCGCCGAGGGTGCTGGCAGGCTGTCTCGTGCCGGTTCCCTGCTGCCTGTCTGGGTCGTGCACCGTGTGCGTGTCACTCCTAAACAGGGAGGAGCCCGGTGGGGGGGGGGGGTGCGGGGGCGTTGGAGACTCGCGGGCCTGGGTCTGAGCGCTGCCGGCAGTCAGTCACGGCTGAGTCACGGCTGGCCCGCGTGGAGTGGTTTCTGTGCATCCAGCGTTGTATTAATGCAGGCTGACTTGCTGCTCACTGGTAATGCGACGGTGGGCGAGCGATTTTTTCCTCTGAGCCTGTTTTCCTCCTTTTGGAGCTGTGGTTTAGGTAGTATTTTCAGATTACAACGGGGATTAAATGAGGAAATTGGAAAGCACTTGCTAGAAGGCCTGACACATTGGGAGACTCACCAATGGGAAGTGTTCGTGGTGGCCTTAGTCCTGTCTGGGGTGGGGGTGGGGGGGTTGCGGAGGTGCGGGGCAGAGCACTGGGAGGAGCGGGGGTGAGGCCGGTCTTAGCAGCGTGCAGGGGAGCAGTGGTCACCTTGGCCTTGAGGAGGGAGTGAGCTGCAGTCCCCTGGTGCCCCATGGCGTGGCTTTCCTGAGACGCCGAGGACACGGGCAGTGAGCAGGCCGCCGCCAGACTCCTTCCCAGAAAGGCGCTGCTCCCTCCAAGCTAGGGTTTTTACCTGCGCCCTCGTCAGTGTCACCATCGGCCAGTGTCGCTTTTCTGAATGAGAGTCCCGTGTCGCTCTCACCTGTGTTGCCCGTGTCATCCCTATTGCTTGGTACAGTGCTTCCCCCCTTGAATGGTCTCCGGGCTCTTGCTGACGTTGTCAGGATGAGGGAGAGCGTGAACGGGATGGGAGAAGGGAGTCGCTCACCTTACCTCCACGTGTTCCCCAGAACACCCGCAGGGCCGTCAGGGCACTCAGAACTGCAGTGCCCGGGGCAGTTCCCCGAGATCTCCAGGCCGCCTGCCTTTTAGCGCTTCTGAAATATGTCGATAGCTTTAGAGTTTGGATAACATAACAAACTGCCCTGCGCCCCACTCAGACAAGGAATCCAGCGTCACCTGGACTGCTGGGGCCTCTCTGTGCCCTCTCTGGTTGCCACTCTCCCTTCCACAGGTGACCACGGGCCTGGCTCCGGGGTCTGGAGGTGATGTTTCAGCCTTGGTGGCACAGGGAGCCGACCCCTTGGGCAGGCTGCGGGGGCCACTGGGACTTCTGAGCTCTCGGGGGGGTTCTGACGTGGTCCTGGGGGCAGGCGCTGAGTTTTCCTCTTGGGACTGCTTTCCTCGGGTCCCGCAGATCCTGGGGGTGGGGGTGTCCTCTCAGTGGTGTCAAGGTATCTGTGGTTACTCCCTCGATCTCATGGTTAACCCATTCTTTATTTAGTGACATATTATTTAGCCTCCACAGGTTTGTGTGTTTCTCTGCTCTTTTCCTGAAACTGATTTCTATTTTTCACACCATTGTGGCCAGAGAAAATGCTTCCTATGATTTTATTCTTTTTCAGTTTATTGTGACTTGTTTTGTGGCCTAACATGGTGCGTCCTGGAAAACGTGCCATGTGCACTTGGACAGAACACGTAGTCGACTGCTCTGGGGTGACGTGCTGTGAAAATAGCACTTGGGTCCCCGTGGTCTAGTGAGCCACTGAAGGCCTCCGTTTCCTTGTTGCTGTTCTGTCGGGAAGACCCGCCCACGGCCGGCAGTGGGCGAGCAAGTCCCCTGCCGGCTGTGTCGCTATGGATCCCTTCGTGCTCATCAGTGTTTGCTGTGTACATTGGGGTGGCCGAAACGTCCGCGTGGCTTTTTCCATAAAATAAAAGACAGATTTGTAATTTTCTCCCATAACTTTATTGGTTTGGCTACCTCCTGCGTGGTAGAATGTTGATGGTTCTCAGTTAACGTCCTGATGCGACCACTATCCACTTCAACTGTCGAACCAGCCTGGAGCATCTCCAGCAAGGAATCTCCAGCATGGAACTTAACACCACGCTGACACCTCGATCCGTCAGTCCCAGCACCTTCTCCACACACGGCGCGAATCCGTTGTTTTGCATTTCAGTTGCGTTTTTACCTTTTTGAAATAATGAAGCATAACATGCCAGAAATGTTGCATGTTTTCTTCCACCTTCAATATTAAAATGGCTGCACAAAAATTCACCAGTTTTGATAAGGATTTTTTAAAAACGCACACTGATGTGACAGCCGTCACAGCACAATCTAACGAGATTGTGTCAGTGAAGGTCAAGACAGCTGAGCGCCGCCGCTGGAGCCGTCCTGCAGAGAAACCCCAGTGAACGTGTCGGCCCGCCCAGTGTTCGGGTGCCTCCCTGCCCTGGGCGCACGAGTGTTCGCAAGGTCGTGTCCTTCCACCGAGTCGACCCCTTTCTCCTTGTGTGGTGTCCTCTGCGTCTCTTATCACAGTCTTCATTGTGAAGTGTGCTTGTCAGTCTGGTGTGAGAACTGCTACCCAGCTTTTTTTTAATTTGCATTTGCATGAAATATCCTTTTCCACCCCTGTCCTTGCAGTCTACGTTTGTCTTTTGACCTGAAATGGGTCGCTTGTAGACAGAATGTGTGAGTATGTGGGTCTTGTTTTCTTACCCATTTACCTGTCCTGTGTCTTTTCCTTAGAGCATTTAATCCATTTTCACTTAAAGTGATTATTGATAGGTATATTTTTATTGCCATCTTATTATTCAT